TCCATGCTCTGCCTAGTGGTGGCATCATGAACTTGTTGGTAGTGTTGCCTTGTGGTGTTGGTGGTGTGCCTTTTTGTCTTTTTTATTTCTTGATGTATTTCTTTGCTGATTTCATTTGGCAAACTTCGTTTTTCAACCCTGTTTTAGTCAAGGGACTATGTTGGGTTCTTAGAAACTTGCCATCAAGAAATTTATAATCTAGTGATACAGAAAAATGTACACATTATTAATATGTCTAAAGAAAGTGCTGTAGGCCAGGCACGGTGGCTCACGCCTGTAATCTTAGCACTCTGGGAGGCCAAGGCAGGTGGATTGCTTGAGGTCAGGAGTTCGAAACCAGCCTGAGCAAGAGCGAGACCCCATCTCTACTGTAAATAGAAAGAAATTAATTGGCCAACTAATATATAGAGAAAAAATTAGCTGGGCATGGTGGCGCATGTCTGTAGTCCCAGCTACTCGGGAGGCTGAGGCAGAAGGATTGCTTGAGCCCAGGAGTTTGAGGTTGCTGTGAGTTAGGCTGACGCCACAGCACTTACTCTAGCCTGGGCAACAAAGCAAGACTGTGTCTCAAAAAAAAGAAATTTATAATCTAGTATACAGAAAAATGTACACATTATTAATATGTCTAAAGAAAATGTCTAAAAGTGCTGTAGGCCAGGCATGGTGGCTCACGCCTGTAATCCTAGCACTCTGGAGGCTAGGCGGGAGGGTACTTGACAGGAGTTCGAAACCTTAGCAAGAGGGAGACCCGGTCTCTACTAAAAACAGAAAAAATTAGCCAGGCGTGGTGGTGCATGCCTGTGGTCCCAGCTACTTGGGTGGTTAAAGCAGGAGGATCTCTTGAGACTAGGAATCTGAGGTTGCCGTGAGCTAGCTAATGCCACAGCACTCTAGCCAGCGCAATGGAGCAAGACTCTGTCTAAAAAAAAGCAAGAGAAAAGAAGTGCTATAAAACTTAAGAGGACAAGGACAAGAAGATAGGTAACCAAGGGAGTCTTCATTCATAGAGCTGGCGGCGTCAAAGATTCATTACCACTGAATTCAGCCTTGAAGTATTTCTGCAGGTAAGGAAGGGGACATGAGCAAAGGCAGGAAAGTTAAAGGTCTGTTTGCAAGACATCAGGGACTCCAGTTTTACTGACTGGAAATGGAGACGAATTGAGAGAACAGTTTGGGAAAGTACCCTGTGCAGGATGTGTATGTAGGGCCTGGAACACCAGACTAAATAGTTGGTGTTTAGTCAGCAGCTGTTGGAGGAGGCTAAAGTCTTTTTTTTTTTTTTTTTTTTTGAGACAGAGTCTCACTTTTTGTCCAGGCTAGAGTGAGTGCGTGGCGTCAGCCTAGCTCACAGCAACCTCAAACTCCTAGCTCGAGCGATCCTTCTGCCTCAGCCTCCGAGTAGCTGGGACTACAGGCATGACCACCATGCCGGCTAATTTTTTTATATATATATCAGTTGGCCAATTAATTTCTTTCTATTTATAGTAGAGACGGGTCTCGCTCTTGCTCAGGCTGGTTTTGAACTCCTGACCTTGAGCAATCCGCCCGCCTCGGCCTCCCAAGAGCTAGGTTTTGTTTTTTTTTTTTTAATTTTTAAAATATATAATCTTTTTTCTTTTCTTTTTTTTTTTTTTTTTTCTTTTTCCAGCTCATGATGTAGGTGAAGAGGCTAAAGTCTTCTAAGAAAGTGAGAGTTAAATTTGGGCTCTAGGAAGAGTCATGAGTACTGTGTGCCTTAACCTGGACAGGGAGAGGCCAGAAGCAGGGAGACCAGTTGATGAAAATGTCCCGAGTCCCTGACCTGGGGTGGTGGCAGTGGGAATGGAAATGAAGAGGCTTAAAATGAGAGAATCTGTTGCCTCACTGTTCTTATCTGTGATATCCTTGTCAACCAGAGCCCCCGTGGAACCTCATCTGCATGTGACACGTCTTCCCCAAGTAAGGCTTGCCAGGTCTAGCCCCTGCCCTCAGGGACCTCTTCTCCAAGAGGTACAGACTGTGCCCAGAGTCAGGGTGACCACGCCCTAGATTTCCTTCTGACTATCTCCTTGTGCTTTCACTAGGGCACTGGCACCAAGTTGACAAGTGTCACTCTTATCATTGCCAAGTTTAGCAAATAAAAACACAGGATGCCAGCCAGGTGTGGTGGCATGAGCCTTTGGTCCCAGTTACTTGGGAGGCTGAGGCAGGAGGATCACTTGAGGCCAGGTGTTTGAGGCTACAGCACACCATGGTTGTGCCTATGAATAGCCACTGCACTCTAGTCTGGGCAACATAGTGAGACCCCCATCTGTAATAATGAAAAAAAAAAATACAGGATGCCAGTTAGATTGGAATTTCAGATAAGCAACAGATAATTTCTTTACGTATATCCCCTGTAATATTGGGGACATACTTACGCTAAATCATCAGCATTTATTTGGAATTCCAGTTTAACTGGGTATTCTGCACTTAAATCTGCCAGTGCTAACCAAGCCTCACTCTTCTCTGCACCTGAGTCTGGGCTCAGCTTCCTCATCTCAAGAAAATTCCTTTTCTCCCATTTTCTACCTGTTACCTCCTAAGTTTCCCAGTGGGTCCAAAGAGTCAGGAAGAGTATATACCTCCCAGGAGAGGGATTTGCCTACTAGTTTGGGGCATGGATGTCTAAACTTAGTGTCAGCGCCGGGCGTGGTGGCTCACGCCTGTAATCCTAGCACTCTGAGAGGCTGAGGCAGGCAGATTGCTCAAGGTCGGGAGTTCAAACCCAGCCTGAGCGAGACCCCATCTCTACTAAAAATAGAAAGAAATTAATTGACCAACTAAAAATATATATACAAAAAATTAGCCAGGCATGGTGGCACATGCCTGTAGTCCCAGCAACTCGGGAGGCTCAGGCAATAGGATTGCTTGAGCCCAGCAGATTGAGGTTGCTGTGAGCTAGGCTGACGCCACAACACTCACTCTAGCCTGGGCAACAAAGTGAGACTCTGTCTCAAAAAAAAGAAAATAAAATAAACTTAGTGTCAGAACTTGGTACCTGTGTGCAACATGAGGGCACAGGTTTCTGTGCAACCAACCAGATGGAGGGAGAGGAAGAAAGACCTTTTGTTTAAATGCCAAACAGGAAAGGAGAGCATCAGGCCCTAGGGAGCCTTCCAGATTTCTGCTGGGTGTCTTCAGAATGTACCTGGGGCCCAGAGACCGTACCACTGAAATTTGCCTTCTGCACCTCACCTCATCCTCACCTCCCTATTTAACTTCCTTTCCTGCTTCACTCAATTTCCAGAAAGGCACTGGAGCTCTTGGAAGCAGACACACTCTATCTCCAAGCTCATAGCGTTTGCCTAAAACACCCTTCCCCAAATCATACACTAGTTCCTTCCCTCCCCTTCCCTTCCTCCTTTGTCCCAGCCATGGTCAAGGATCCTTCTTTTGGGTTCCCAAGAGCCTAAGCAAACCTCCCTTACAAGCCTTCCCACAGAATTAATTTCACCTGTTATTTATGTCAGTCCCATGAATATGTGAACTTCCTAAGGACCAGACCAGCCCCTTCCCTGGAGTCCTTGTTACTTGGCACCATGCCTGCACCTAGTAGGTGCTGGATAAACACATGCTGAATAAACAGCAGGGCTCTGTGTAGAGGCTTCCCTGCCCCTTAACCCACCCAGTGTGCTCTTTAGGGAGCATCCAGCTGCCCCACCCACCACCCCCCGCCCCCCACATACACTTCTCTAGTCTTCAGGGCTGGAAGGATATTTCATTAGCATTAAAGAAAACCTGCCTGAAAAGTCTCAACTCTGGATCTGCCTGCCCCTACACCTTCATTATGGCCAGACTAGTAAGGCCTTGAGTATCTTAGCATGAGCCAAAGATATGGGGTGGACCCTTTGGCCTTTGGCCCAGGCCTTCCAGATCCAGGCTCTGCTCTGAGCCCAGACAGTTGTTTCAGATCAGGCTGCTGCTCCCTTCACACTCCCTTCTGTGTACAACTTCTGAGCCTTCTGGAATGATCTTCCTCATTGGCACCAGATGCCCTCTCTCAAGCCATTTATTTGTTGCTTGCATTGTTAGGCTTGAGAGAATAAAGAGAACTGCCCTGAGTGCCTGTCCGCCCCACCCCTCCGCCTTCCGGGAGGGTCCTCCCAATCTAAGAGACTCCAATCTGGACCAATGTAGTGAACAAAAACACATTGGACAGTATGTTCTGTAAGGAGTTCAGTGGGTCTGGGGCCTTCTACTGGATGGGGTATGGGAGCAGAGATTTGAGGGCATCTTGGCCATTATACACATAGGCCAGACACAGATAAATCAAGGTGGGGAGGTGGCCAAAAGGAGACAGCCCTCAAATCCCCAGGATGTGAGTAACCCTAGCTGCAGCAGGTACTCACTTGCAAGACTACTGGACACAGGACAGGCTGGGTGGGATGGTCTCTTCAGAATGCCAGTATGAGCTCCTTCCAAAACACTTACTTTGGTAGTGCTGGGCAATGTCTCTGGGAAGAAGTAGGTAGACAGGGCAGTCATGATCAGAGTCAATAGTCCAGTAGCCCTAAGTGCTTGTCTGCAAATTTCTTCCTGCAGCCTTAGCCCTGCTTGTGGTGCTGGTGAGGCCTCCAGCAATTGGCAGGTGGGTCTGGGCAGCAGAGATATGTAGGAAATTGGGAGAGGCTCCTCATGCTCTCGTTTGCAGCCCTGTGCCTGTGATTAGCGGTTTGGTGTGGGAAACCTCAGGGAGGGCTCACAGACCAAACTGCTGATTAAGACTGTAGCTGGTCAGCACGGCCAATAGCTAACTGTAATCTGTGGTTCCTACCTTTCAGGCTGGCTTAGGGCCTGGGCTTGGTATGGATCTGAAAGGCGAGGTCTAGCCATATAGCTTTGAGTCTCTCCTAGGGTCCCAGTGGAACTAGCACCCCAGAGTAAGGCCCTCAGGAGGCTTGGTGGCTGACTTCTTGCTGGGAGGCAAGGGGCTTTACTCTCTGCTCCCGGCCTGCCCCACACGGGCGCTCTCCCTGCAGGTACCTGAAGGAGTTCCGCACGGAACAGTGCCCGCTCTTTGTGCAACACAAATGCACACAGCATCGGCCCTACACCTGCTTCCACTGGCACTTCGTGAACCAGCGGCGCCGCCGGTCCATCCGACGTCGGGACGGCACCTTCAACTACAGCCCTGACGTCTACTGCACCAAGTACGACGAGGCTGCGGGCCTCTGCCCGGAGGGCGACGAGTGAGTGCCCCAGCCCGCCCTCAGAGGAGCCTCGTATCTCCTGGGTCAGATGCCCGCAGAATAGGCCAGGCAGATTCTGGGAAGTCAGCCAGAGGCTGCCCTGGGGAGGACCAGACGCAGCCCAGCCTGTCTTCCTACAGCTCGGGCCCCGCCATCCTCGGAGGTGCCTTTCGCCTTCCCCACTTTTAGGAATCCCAAAGTAGTCCTTTGTTTTACTGAGCCTAAGGGGCCACATCTGAACCAAGGTGGCTGCCTGGGCTTTTCATCCTCCCCTGCAGATCACAGGAACCCTCTCCCTGTGCTGCCGCCACCCACTGCAACCTGAGCAGGTCCCACCAAGGCTGTTTAGAGAGAGCGCCTCACAGTTCCCATGCTTGCTGACCCCAAATGTCTTACTGCAAATCACAGGGCACAGCAGTGATGACAAACATAAGGAGGTGGCAAGCCTGGGAATGTCACTGAGAGGGAACATTCATTGGCCATCCTTGTCACTTGTTCCAACATTGGAGAGGGGTGACAGGAGGTGCCACGGGGAGTCTGTGGGTACAACTCATGGAACCATCCCTGCATCAGCACCCCTTTCGCAGAGATCAGAGGCTTGCTGACCCCTCCCCAGCCCTCAGGGTGTGAGAGGGCACGCCCAAGTTTTGAGCAGTTCATTTTCTTCGCTGAGGACCCCCCAAGTCTGGGCAGCATCTGTTCTTCCAGGTGTCTCTCACCTGAGAACGCCAGGCCCTATCGGGCCCACTTCAAGCTGTAAGGAGGGCACCCCAGGCTGCAGGGGGCGAAGTTGGTTGACCCCACTATCATGTTCCAGGTGTCCATTCCTGCACAGGACCACAGGGGACACTGAGCGCAGGTACCACCTTCGTTACTATAAAACTGGAATCTGCATCCACGAGACAGACTCAAAAGGCAACTGCACCAAAAACGGCCTGCACTGCGCTTTTGCCCACGGGCCCCATGACCTCCGCTCCCCTGTCTACGACATCAGGTGGGCTGGGCTGACGGTAGCAGGCTGGGGTGTGGGGTAGGGGCACTTTGCTTCCTGCCCCCTCATCTCTGTTTCCTCTCCTCCCAGGGAGCTCCAGGCCATGGAGGCCTTGCAGAATGGCCAGACCACAGTAGAGGGCAGCATGGAGGGCCAGTCGGCTGGGGCTGCAAGCCACGCCATGATAGAAAAAATCCTCAGTGAAGAGCCTCGCTGGCAAGGTATGGGCAGCCACACAGTGGCCATGCCCCCTCCAGCCACACATCTGCCCCCTTCCCTGACCCGAGGACATAGTTCGCCACCACCTACTGCCTTCTGCTGCTGAAGCCACTACTTCTGCTGGGAGGCATCCAGCACCTCCATACCGCCTCACACCTGTCGTGCAAAAGGCACTTGTACTGGAATTTTCTCAGATATGCTGTGTTCCCGGGATCCCCCAAGCCTCCACATGTACGCACTCACGTGCGTGGGCTCTCGGCCCTCATGGAGGTGCTGTTTTTGCCCTGTGAGCCGTGTGTATCTCCAGCGAGGGACAGCATCTATTGTCCTTACTTCACCTGGGTGGCAGCCTTACTGTTGGCCTCACCAGCATGCCTGTGGCCTGTGAGGAGGTAGCCTGCCCACACGTCTCACAGGAGCCTCAGTTCCGGGGCTCCTTCCCAGTGGCGGCTTCTTCCCCTTCCCTCCACTCCATGCCTGCTGTTCTCAGGGTCCTCCAGCTCCCCTCGCCTGACCCCTGCCCTCTGGCCCCCTGTGCAGAGACTGCTTATGTGCTGGGGAACTATAAGACGGAGCCTTGCAAGAAGCCCCCGCGGCTGTGCCGCCAAGGCTATGCCTGTCCCTACTACCACAACAGCAAGGACCGGCGGCGGAGCCCCCGGAAGCACAAATACAGGTCCTTTGGCCCCAGGAGGCCAGCCACGGGAGGGAGGAGTGGCAGGGAAGGGATCGTGGCAGAGGCTGCTACTGCTCTGGCTCTCAGGGAGGTGGGAAGGCTGGCCCTACAGATTGCAGGACGGCAGGGTCCAGGTACTAGGGGAGGGAGCATTAAGGATTGCTGGATGGTGGGAGCCCAGGTCCATCTCTTGCATGAATGAAGCCCCTCCAGTTCTGATCCTGCGGGCAGGTGCTGGACTGGGGCTAGGCGACAGTGTGGAAAGTGTGGTTGTGGTTCTAGCCTGACTTTGTGGGCTGGCGTGATGCTTGGTGGGAGGGCCCGGCCGAGCGAAGCAAACCTGGCTTCTGGCCCTGCTAAGCCCCTCACTCTGCAGCTGGTCTTTTCTGTTTCTGTGCCTGTACCTGTGTGGCAGGGGGACCAGAGCAGGCCCTGAGCAGGGAGTGAGGTGGCAGCCGCTAGGCCCTGATCTCACCTCTCCTGCCTCCATCTGACTCCACCCTTTCGTTGGGCCAGGTCATCTCCATGTCCAAACGTCAAGCACGGGGATGAGTGGGGAGACCCCGGCAAGTGTGAGAACGGGGATGCCTGCCAGTATTGCCACACCCGCACGGAGCAGCAGTTCCACCCGGAGGTGGGCCTGGGGGTAGGGGCTGGGGGTAGCTTCTTATAGCCCCTTTGGGAAGCAGGGGGAGAGGCAAGAGGGTGCGGGTAAGTGTTGGCAGAATCCATCCTGGAAGAGGCTCCTCCCAGGCAGTCCTGGAGGAGCCCACACCCTTGGCGTGGCGGCTCTCGTCCTGAGCCCACACTCACCAGGCAGCACTCCGCTTCCACTCGTCTCCCCTGTCCTCCTGACAGGGCAAGCATGGCTTAACATGGCATCCTGGCCGTTCTGGGCTTTCTGCCGCTTGTGGTGCTTATGATTCAGTGACACAAGGATTTACAAAATAAAAAAGCACCTTCCAATGGTCTTATCCTAGGTCAGAGCCTGGGGTGCCAGCAGCCTCCCTAATGTAGTTCCCTGCCCACTGGCCCATGAGGTGGCCCTGAACCATATCAGCATGCCTAGGTCTCATGTAGGGTGCAGAGAGGCACGTGAAGTTCCATGGAAGCCAGGACACCCCAAGGGAGACACATGGACAGAGACCACCTGATGTGGCTGCAGACAGCAGAGTGGGAAGTTAGACCCAGTAGAGATCACAACCCAGGATGCCCTGCTAGGGCACGTGTTGGGGGTGGCTGGCTGCATGCTGCCTGAGATCGTGGCTCCCTTAGTGCCCAGGAGGACAGCTGGAGAGGGTCCTTGTGAGAGCTGGTGGGACCTGTGATCCCAGAGGGAGGGTGGCAATGGCAGTGGGGGTGGTGGGCTGCCTCAGGAGTTTGAATAAGAAGTTGGTAGGGAGAGACTCGGGAGTGGCACGGAATGGAGACGGGAAGAGATGACTAAGACGGCCCACTCGTGCTGAAGGAAGGGGAGCCTGCGTCGTTCTCGCAGGGCCTCAACCTGACCTGCCTCTGCTCTGCTCTCTCCAGATCTACAAATCCACCAAGTGCAACGACATGCAGCAGTCGGGCAGCTGTCCCCGAGGACCTTTCTGCGCCTTTGCCCACGTAGAACGTATGCTGTTCCCATTGCCCGGGCAGTGCCCTCCACCCTCCCTTCTAACCCTCAGCTCAGGCAGGGGAATGGCCCTTGGCAGCACCCCATGCACAACAGTCATTGCTTGCCAGCAGAGGGCCTTGTCCCCTCTGGAAGTTCCATGGCCTCTGCCTGTCTGGAACCAGCCTTGAAGCCCTGGAGCTTCCAAGGGCGTGAGATAGAGACTTTGGGGACTTTCCTCCCAGGCGGGCACTTGGAGTCCAGGTAGGCTGAAGCACTGAGCCTCCCAGAGGTGACCTGGCAAAGCCTGCCAGCACCCCATGTCACACCCATCACAGGCATCACCAATGGAACATGGAGCTCTTCTCTACTGAGCCCTACTCAGGTCTGTAGAGCAGATCTGGCCATTCAGAATGTAAGGCCACACCCCTATATGCCTTTTTTTTTATAATTTTAAACGTGTGTTTTTTTGAGACAGAGTCTTGCTTTTTTTTTTTTTTTTTTTTTTTTTTTTTTGCATCAGCCATTTAGCCCACCCGGGTAGCAGTGAGAGACCCTGTCATGTGGCGTCAGCTTAGCTCACAGCAACCTCAGCAACCTCAAACTCCTGGGCTCAAGCAATCCTCCTGCCTCAGCCTCCCGAGTAGCTGGGACTACAGGCATGCGCCACCATGCCCGGCTAATTTTTTTCTATATATATTAGTTGGCCAATTAATTTATTTCTATTTATAGTAGAGACGGGGTCTTGCTCTTGCTCAGGCTGGTTTCGAACTCCTGACCTCGAGCAATCCACCCACCTCGGCCTCCCAGAGTGCTAGGATTACAGGCGTGAGCCACCGCACCCGGCCTAAACTTTTGTTTCAATTTGTTTTGAACCCTCTGATGGCAGACCCATATGTCGCTTAAAGTTTAAAAATTTTTAAGCTCATTAAAAGTAAAAGCAAGAGGCCCAGGTTAAATTAATTTTTTTTTTTTGAGACAGAGTCTCACTTTGTTGCCCAGGCTAGAGTGAGTGCCGTGGCGTCAGCCTGGCTCACAGCAACCTCAATCTCCTGGGCTCAGCAATCCTTCTGCCTCAGCCTCCCAAGTAGCTGGGACTACAGGCATGCGCCACCATGCCTGGCTAATTTTTTTTTTGTATATATGTTTTTAGTTGGGCAATTAATTTCTTTCTATTTTTGAGACGGGGTCTTGCTCAGGCTGGTTTTGAACTCCTGACCTTGAGCAATCCGCCCGCCTCGGCCTCCCAAAGTGCTAGGATTACAGGCGTGAGCCACCGCACCCGGCCCAGGTTAAATTAATTTTAACAGCTTTTTTATTTAGCCTAATATAAAACATTTAATAGGTAATCAATATCAAAAACTATCAAGATGTTTTACCTTTTTGTGTGTGTGTGCTAAGTCTTTGAGATCTGATACGTATTTTAGTCCTGACAGCGCGTTTCCATTCAGAGCAGCCAGGTCCAAGTGCTCAGTGTGGGACAGAGTGGCTCCAGATCCCCAGCGTTACCATCCAGGCTGACCAGAGAGGGAGCGCAAGTTTACCCCTGTTCGTGCCTGTTTCCACCCCAGGAGACTGCTCTGGTTCTCCTTAACTTCTTTCCAGGCTCAGACCCCGTTTCTGACATTGGAGTGAAAAATAAACAGAGACAGGTGTACGCACAGTGGTGGCGAATGCCTGTAGTCCCAGGTACTTGAGCCGCTGAGGCAGGAGGATTGCTTGAGCCCAGGAGTTTGAGGCCAGCCTGAGCAATAAACATAGCAAAATCTCGACTCTACAAAAAATAAAAAAATTAGCTGGGCATGGTGGTGTGCACTCAGGAGGCTGAGACAGGAGGATCATCACTTGAGCTCAGGAGTTTGAGGTGGCAGTGAGCTGAGATCAAACCACTGTAATCCAGCCTGGGTGCAAAACCCCATCTCTTACAAGTAAGATGTGCAACGTTTGGGGGATGGACATGCTTGAAGCTCTTACTCGAGGGGGCCAGGGGGGCATGGGCAATATAAGTAACCTTAACACTTGTATCCCTATAATACGCTAAAATAAAAAATAATAAAATAAAAATAAAATAGCTTCTAAAAAGAAAAAGAAAGACCCCATCTCTTAACAAAAAAAAGAGAGACCCTATCTCAAAAAAGGAAAAAAGTGAAATAAAACAAACTGAGGACCCTGGGAAGGAGAATCATATTCTTGGTGCAGAGGTGGTCCCAGCCATGGGCACTGGGACCACCCGATCGAGACAGCACAGAAAAGTGATTCGTAGTTCAGGCTTTAGAGTTGTACACATCAGAGTTGAAATCCCAGCTCTTCTGTTTCCCAGCTCTGTCACCTTGGTAGATTTACCTTACCTCCCTTGAGCCGCAGTTTCTTTTATCTATAAAACGGAGACCACAGTACTACCAGTATCTTCCAGTCATCGTGAAGATTCACAGTTAACACAAAGTGCTGGCACAGTGCCTGGCACATAGTAAGAGCACAAGACACCATGTTAATAGAAACAAGGTAGGAACCTTCCCTTTATGTGGAGAGTAATGCATGGTCTCCTTTGGGGGGAACTAGGAGCATTTTTAGAGAATCAGAGCTGGCTCAGGAGCCTACTAACTCCTACCTCCTTCTCTTGCAGAGCCACCCCTAAGTGACGACCTACAGCCTTCCTCAGCTGTGTCTAGCCCCACCCAGCCAGGTCCCGTCTTGTACATGCCGTCTGCTGCCGGAGACTCGGTGCCTGTGAGCCCTTCCAGCCCGCACGCCCCCGACCTCAGTGCTGTACGTGCCTGTCCTGGGGAGTGGGTGGGCACCATCCCTGCCCCGGAGCCAGCACCTCCCAGGTGTTGCCTCCCAGGCCCCTCAGGCTATGCTCGGTATTTGCACTTGGGCCAGGGGTACTGTCTTCGTGTTCTTCTCTGTCAAGGCCCAGGCCCGGGGACGTGGGGAGGGCAGTCCCCAGAACCTGTGTTGATCAGCCTAGGTAGGGCTGGTTGAAGGGACAAAGCCTTACGTCACTCCCCTCACCTCCAATTCCCTTGTCAGGTTCAGGGGTCCCTGGGTGGTTGTTGCTGCCCTTTGACAGACGAAAGTGGAGCTGAGCTCCTTACTGAAGACTGTCCCACTCGGCGGGGACGGAGGATGGGCCACGAGGCCTGCCTGCGTTATGCCTACCAGCCCCTCCCTCCTCGCTGCAGCTCCTCTGTAGAAATAGCAGCCTGGGCAGCCCATCTAACCTCTGCGGCTCCCCACCGGGCTCCATCCGGAAGCCCCTCAACCTGGAGGGCATCGTCTTCCCCGGGGAGTCTGGCCTGGCCCCTGGCAGCTATAAGAAGGCTCCTGGGTTTGAGAGGGAAGACCAAGTAGGAGCCGAGTACCTGAAAAACTTCAAATGCCAGGTAAAGGGTGAGAGGGGCAACAGAAGATACTTAAAGCCCAGTGATGTTGGCCTCTCCCACATGGGGCAAGAGAAGCTTGGAGGAATGTCCTGGCCCAGCTGTGAGAAGGCTGACTGGGGGCTAGGATTCTCCTGTCCTCAGCCTCTTTAGGACTCAGCAGAGTAATGTCACCCCATTTTACAGCTGAAAGCCAGAAGGCTAGAGGGGCTGAGTGGCTTCCTGTGGCAGAGCTAGTTGCTAGAGGGGCAGGGATTCCCACTTTGATGGAATGGCAGGGCCTGGGGGAGCAGGACAGAGGGATCCCTAACTAGGCTTTGGGGAGAAACCTTGTGGGCCCGTGTGAGCCTTAGAGTCACCTGGGAGGAGAGAAGCAGCTCCCTGCTTAGGTGGGGAGAGAGATGGGTGTGTGTATGTGCAAGGAGATTGCATGGCAAGTGACAGGTGTCTGCCACCACCACCTGCTCCCTGGTACCTGCAGCCTCAGCCATGGCAGAGTCAGGTGGACTCCTGGACGGGGGCACCCTCCATGGCACCACATTCATCCCCGCTCCCTGACTTTTCTCTCTCAGGCCAAATTAAAATCCCACTCACTAGAGCCAAGGAGTCAAGAGCAGCCTCTGCTTCAGCCCAAACAGGTACGGAGCACCCAGCCCCCTTCCTCCCTCTGGCTTCTGTTGTGGGCAGCACTAGCCCGGAACCCAGGAGGCCTCAGGCAGTGGGAGGCACCGCTTTTCCCATACATAGGCTGAGGGCAGGACTGAGGCGGGCTCCAGCCACAAATCCAGAGTGGAGGGGGGTTCAGCCTGGAGCCCCTCACCTCCTAGCCTCGCTCATTAGTCAAATAAAGATATGTGGAACATCTGCCCTGTGCCAGGCCCTGTACTTACTGCTCCCTTTCCTGCTGCAGGACCTGAGGGCAAGTGAGCCTGACAGCCTCCAAGCCACATGTCTCCAGCAGCAGCCTCAGTGGGGTGTGGGGGCGGCTGGATGAGAGCTGGGATGTGCCATTTCCCCTGCCCCACCCAGCCCCGTCTCCAGCCTCTGGCCGCGGCCACCATAGGCGGGTGTCCCATTGCCTCTCCTTCCCCTCTCTCGTTGCAGGACGTGCTGGGCATCCTCCCCACGGGCAGCCCCCTGACCTCAAGCATCTCTTCTAGTATCACCTCCAGCCTGGCAGCTACTCCCCCCAGCCCCGTGGGCACCAGCAGCATCCCTGGCATGAATGCAAACGCTCTGCCCTTCTACCCCACCAGCGACACGGTAGAGTCCGTCATAGGTAATTAGGCCATTGCTGTTTGCAAGGCCGGCACTGGGTCTGGACTCAGAGACACTCCAGTTTCTGAAGTGAGACTCCAGTCGGCCTACCAGTCACCTTAGACTTCTGTCTTGGGGGAAATCAGGGTGTGGGCACTCTGGTCCCTTTGAGCTAGACAGAAAATGAGCCCAAAGTGTAGGGCCCAGGCTGGCCCTTACAGTTTTTTTGTGAAAATTAGAGTGTCACCCCCAGGCATGTCATTCAGTCCCCATTCTTTCTCACACTAGATATCTCTATGGCTGTTAGAAGTCAGTGCCCCTTGCTTTCGGAGCTCATTTGTGGGTGCCCACTTTGTGCCAGGTCCTACGGCAGGTGCTGGGAAGACAGATGACACACACTGCTCTTGCCCTCTAGGAGGAAAACTGTTTCCACCCTCCCAGTCCAGTTCAGTAGGGGGCAGTGGACATTTGGCCACCTACTATGCACTAGCCACTGAGGGCCCACACACAGGAGCTGTAACATCAGGAGACGGGACTGCCTTCAGGGGCAGGGACCCTGAATCGGGACTTGAATTCCCTGGGGGTATCAAGGCTTTAGAAAGCAGAGACACTGGCCGCCTTCCCTGGCTGACAGCACGGGGGGTCAGTGTTGGCAGCGGGAGCAGCTCAGGCAAAGGCGTGGAGGCTCGAGGGAGCACGGGCCTGGTGTGGCCTGAGCGTGACGATGTGACAGGGGCAGCCATCGAGTGGGCGAATGTCAGGAGGGGCTCAGAGCCTGGGCAGTGCGGGCCCTCAGGAAGCCAGGGGCCCACATCCAGTCTCTCTGTCCCTAGAGTCTGCTTTGGATGACCTGGACCTGAACGAGTTTGGGGTGGCCGCCCTGGAGAAGACTTTCGATAACAGCACAGTGCCCCACCCAGGCAGCATCACAATTGGTACAGGGCAGTGGATGGGCAGGGCAGCCTGGGAGGGCTTCTTGGGGTCCTGCCTTGCCCAGGTCCCCTGTTCGATGTGGCCCACATGGCTCGCCCCGCCCTCACCCAGCCCGGGCCTCTCTTGCAGGCGGCAGCTTGCTGCAGAGCTCTGCGCCCGTGAACATCCCTGGCTCCCTGGGCAGCTCTGCCTCTTTCCACTCAGCGTCCCCGTCCCCTCCTGTCAGCCTCTCCTCGCATTTCCTGCAGCAGCCCCAGGGCCACCTGAGCCAGTCAGAAAACACATTTTTGGGGACTTCAGCCTCACATGGATCCTTAGGTAAGTGGGGACACGTCTCACCGTGGAAACCTGGGGCTGAAACTGGGCCTCGTAGAAAGTGCCTGTGGGTGCGCTGTTCGCAGCAAACCGGCCAGGTCAGAGGGCAGAGCAGGGGCTTTGAGCAGGGAGGCAGAGGCAGGTCCTCGCCTGTGTGACCCTGGACAACGTAGCCTCTCTGCCTTAGTTTCCTCTGCTATGAAATGGGTGGAGCAGCAGTACCCACTTCATAAGGTTGTTGTGAGGATTTTTTTTTTCTTAGCGTATTATGGGGGTACAAGTGTTAAGGTTACATATATTGCCCATGCCCCCTTCCCCCCTCGAGTAAGAGCTTCAAGTGTGTCCATCCCCCAAATGTTGCACATCTTATTCGTTGTGGTTGTATATACCCATCCCCTCCTCCTCCCGACACCCGATAAATGTTACTCCTATATGTCCACTTAGGTGTTGATCCGTTAATACCAGTTTGCTGGTGAGTACATGTGGTTGTTGTGAGGATTAAATGAGATAATGTGGATGCAGCGCGACCACTGCAGTGAGAATAGCAGTCTCAGCCGCCAGGGCTGAGGCCTGGTCTTTGTTGCCATGTGGTTCTGCTTTGCCCAGTCCCCCAGGGCTCTAAGAGGCTGGCTCATGCCAACCAGGCTCACGGAGACCAAGGGGAAGCTGGAACAGGCTCACCCTGGGCTCAGGGTGCCCTTCCTGGCAGGCAGAGGCTCTGGAAGACCCAGAGCTGGCCGAGAAGGCTATTTGCCCAACGTGGAATTAGAGTGGTGTGGACTGGGGCTTCCAGAGCCGTGACGCGGAGGCTCAGGGGCTCTGCCACCACAGGCAGGGTAAACAAGGGTGGCTGGGAAATGGAGCAAGCAGCTGGCGGCTCTCTGCTCTCATGCAACAAGGAGAGAAGGGGTCCAGGTTCAAACCACAGGCAGGGTGTCCATCTCCGCGCGAGGAGCTGGTGGGAACACCCCCCGAGGGGAGGCCACAAAGCCCTTGTCCCTGCCGCTCTCACGTCCGCTCCCCCACAGCTGTTCACAGGGACCGGGAGCACTTCCCCGAGGGTGCTGAGCATTCTGGTCTGTCGCAGGGACCGGGAGCTCCCTGGTCTCACTCTGCAGAGCAGGCAGCACACTGATTTCTTAGCACCTTTTCTGTTTTAAGGAGGCTGTTGTCTGTTTTGTGTTGATTCTGTCAGCTTCAGCTGCTTAGTGTCACATTTTTCTGACTTGCACCATACTCTGGAGGCATCTTGGTTTAGCTCTGCCTGCTGGCCACACATTTGTTCTTCCACCATGTGGTTACTGAGCACAGTTGTGTAGACACAGGTGTTGTGAGCACGACAGTCCCTGCTGCCCTGGGACCGTGGTCAGCACAGGAGGCAGAGGTGCAGGGCCATTGGAGTCCTACTTACAATGACAGAGGGGAGCTAACCTGGGCGGGGCAGTCAAGAGGGCCTTCTCTGAGGAAGCAGCTCCATTCCCAGAGAATAAATGGCACCTGAGAGCAGAGGAGAAATGGGAGGGCCAGGAGAGTCTGCTGCTGGGCCAGTCTCGTGGTCCGTGATCCTGAGGTCCCTCCTCTGGGACAGGGCAGTGGCCCCTAGTACACAGTGTAGGGTCTCCACACAGGACCACCCCCTGCATCTGTTGGTGCACTTGTGTTGCTCAGAGGACAGAATGTCTTAAATCTGGTAATCTGGTTCTGGAACATTCTGGCTGGATTTATGGGAAAGGAAACAACAAGTCACTAAAAGAGTACGTGGGCAGAATGAGTCCAGAGATGGACATGGGGCCCTCCCAGGAGGACAGAAGCTGCCCTGGGGCCAGGGAGCAGGGGGACATGGTGTTAGTGAACACCTGGTGGGGGTGGGGGTGGGAGAGGGCGGGTGAAGGGGTGAGCAGGCAGCTCAGCTCAGTGGGAGAGCAGCCCTGGAGTCAGATGCCCTGCCTGTGTCATTCTTGGTCACACATTTTATCCCAGTGTCCTCATCTGTAAACCAAGGGGGATGGACCCACGGCTCCCTGAGCTCTCACGGCTCCAGCTCTGCCTGCGTGCGAGGCTCCAGCCTGTGTCTTCCCTCCCTGATCTCCTCCCGGGTCCCACGTCAGGCAGCAAACAAGCTGCGGGGGCCTTCAGACTGTCCCACGCAGTGCTTCCTGAGCCCGACCCACCTGTGAGGGGTGACAGAGCCTCATTTTACAGATGAGGATGCTGAGACTCAGAGGTGAAGTGGCAGCTGATAAGTAGCAGGTGGCACTGAAGCTTAGGTCTGAGTCGGTACCTGGCGCCTTTGCAGGCTGCATTCCAGTCCCTGTGGGAGCTCCGGCCCGGCAGAGCTGGGGCCTGCACCCCACCCGGTGCAGAGCCAGCCCCTGGGAGCCTCCCAGGCAGGGCTGGCCAGGGCCTGGGCTGGGCCCACAGCCCTCCGGAGCTGATATTCCTCCCCTCCCTGAGGCAGGTCTCAACGGGATGAACAGCAGCATCTGGGAGCATTTTGCCTCTGGAAGCTTCTCCCCGGGCACTTCCCCTGCCTTCTTGTCAGGGCCAGGGGCTGCTGAGCTGGCCCGGCTTCGGCAAGAGCTAGATGAAGCCAACGGCACCATCAAGCAGTGGGAGGAGTCCTGGAAGCAGGCCAAGCAGGTACTGGGCCCTGTGCCCACCGGCCTTCCCCGGTGGCATCTACCCTGAGACCATCCATGTAGGAGGGGGACGGGAGTAGGGGAGAGCGGGGGCCCAAAGAACAGGGCAGATCGCAGTTTCGCACACTCTCTGCCCCCATGGGAGGACTGGCCTTGCCAGTCAGGACCCTGGAGTGGCTGGTGTCCCAGGTTAGAACTCCCTCCCTGAGCTGCTTGTGTAGTCTAGTCCCGGACCACCTGCCTTTCCCTGGAAGCCCCGAATCTCCAGAGTTCTAGGTTGAGATGAGCCCTCTGTCCAGCTGCAGCCTGACAGCCCCTGGGGAGGCTGACCAGGGCACAAGCTCTGCCTGAGTCCCCTTCCCTGCCCACAGAGGGAGGGTCCCCCGCAGGTCCTGCCACCTCTCTTCTCTGCAGGCAGCATCCGCCTCCTCCCTGTCCCCCTTCCCAGACAGCAGACCCAGCTTCCCAGCACGCCCTGCAGCCAGAGTGGTCCAAACACAGGCCCCCAGAGACACTCCCTGCAGAAACGGGGGCGGGGGGGGGGCCACCGTGACGAGGCGCTGCGTGTTGGGTCCACAGGCTTGTGATGCCTGGAAGAAGGAGGCGGAAGAGGCTGGTGAGCGGGCCAGTGCGGCTGGCGCCGAGTGCGAGCTGGCCCGGGAGCAGCGGGACGCGCTGGAGGCGCAGGTGAAGAAGCTCCAGGAGGAGCTGGAGCGGCTGCACTCGGGGCCTGACCCCCAGGCCCTGCCCGCCTTCCCCAACCTGGAGGCGCTCTCGCTGTCCACACTCTACTCCCTCCAGAAGCAGCTGCGGGCCCACCTGGAGCAAGTGGACAAGGTCAGTCCAGGGGGTCAGGGAGCACTGGGTAGGGGTAGCCTGGGCACTGGGGACACTCAGGATGCGGGGCTGCTAGGAGAGGGTGGAGGAGAGTGTGCATGCCGGGGCTGCAGGGGGGCCATCAGTGCCCACCCCCAGCTCTTTTGTAAGTTCCCCGAGCGCCAGCAGGCCTTCCAGGGGCGTGCTCGGCAGAGAGCCCTTCCTCCTGCATTAGGCCTTGAGCAGCCAGGCCCCCCAGATGGGGCCCTGTCCTGTTGGGCATGTCAGTCCTTTCTAGGCCTCATTTTTCTCATCGGGAGGACCTAGGGGCACCCCAAGGCAGAAGCTTCCGTGAGCAGAAACACGCTCAGGGATGGGAGTGCAGCGGGGGCTCCCTGCACCCAGCGCTGCACTGAGACCAGCAGGCAGAGCAGCCTGAACTCTGACCCTGCTCTCTCACTTGCCAGTGGGGGCCTGGGAGCACACTGTCGAGCTCAGTGCCTCAGTTTCCTCATGCCCAGGGGGCTGAAGTAAGAGTCAAGCCTTGTTCAACCCGGGGCCAGGCCAGTCGCAGGGACCACACCAGTGACCACGGTGCCACTTTCCTGCAGGCCGTGTTCCACATGCAGTCGGTAAAATGCCTTAAGTGTCAGGAGCAGAACCGGGCGGTGCTGCCGTGCCAACACGCCGTGCTGTGCGAGCTCTGTGCCGAGGGCAGCGAGTGTCCGGTCTGCCAGCCCGGCCGGGCCCACGCCCTCCAGTCGTGACCCTGCAAGCCTGGCCCAGCCTGGCCCAGATCTTCTCACCTAGGACTTTTTAAAGTATATATATATATATGTATGTATGTATGTATGTATATGTATATGATTATGTATATGTATACGTATATGTATACATTTCCGTATGTGTGCAGGTATGCGTGGGTGGCGTGAACAGTGTCTGTGTGTATATCTGTACATAGATATAGACACACACTTTAAAACAGATTTACCAAGCACTTTTTAAAAGAAAAAACTATTTTGCAGTCCTCTCCTGCCCACTTCCAGCCCTTTCCACAGCAGAGACAAAATCCCCTCTTCTCCCTCTGGCCTTTTGGCAGAGAATCTGTTTCTGTCTCTTTTTTAATGTAGGAACTAACTATTTTTAACTTCTTCCTGGGGCCTGAGCAGGGAAGGGTGGGAAGCTGGAAGGGACTAAGGGGAGAGGCGAGACCTTCCTGGCAGGCCCTGCTCTCCCGGCCTCCCCAGGCATAGGGTGTGGAGGGCTTGGGGCCTCCAGGGCAGATCCGGTCCCCAGCTGTGAGGGTCTCGGAGCCTAGCTTCTAGTTTTACCAAATGTGTATTTAGTCCTGGGGACAGTGGCAGGGGCTGGCAGGCCCAAGCTGCAGGGCCAGCCCCACTCCCCACACCTGGGCCCTTGAAGCTCCTTGAGGGGCAAGGCCCAGGAGCTCTGCCCCTCAGGTTCCGGAGGCCTGGGGTCCACCCTCAGTCCTCTCCCCCTGGACTCCCCAGAACAGCCTCCCTTGCCCCAGGGCCACCCACCGGGCTGGCACTTCCCTCTCTGTGACCCTCCCACCCCCAGCTGTCCTCAGCTGTCCCTGCCCCCTGCCCTCTCTGGCACGGCTTGGCCCACCGTGCTGTCCGCCCCTCCCTCTGGCAGCTAGCAGGGCAATTGGTGGGGAGGAGTGCGGACTGAGGACCAAGGGGGCCAGGCCCTGCCCTCCTTACCAGGAGGGGCTCCGTATGCATTCCTTGGTGCTCTCTGAGTGCAGCTGATGTCCTGCCCCTGTCTGGGCAGACACCTGTGTGCATGTGTGTGTGTGCCTGTCCAATGTATATTGTGTCTTAGCTTCCATTTTAAAAATTGTCTGTACAGAGAGAGATGCAGCGGGGCGGGAGGGCAGAGTGGGCAGAGGGAAGCGACCCCACTCCCAGCACTGGGTGTCTGGGGTGGGAGTGAGAGGGCTGCAGAGGGTCTGGCCCTGGTCAGGCCCCCCTTGGGCTCAGCACGAAAGGGCTTTCAATGAATTAAGTGAAAACTTTTTCCTTTTTTACAAAAATGCAAAAATCAACAAAGCTCCAAACCTATTGGAAATAAAATATGAACTTGCAGTGGTAACTTGTTTACATGGGAGTGGGGGGAGGGGGCCCCAAATGACAGTCTCTGGGCCACGAGGTGCCAGGAGCTTGGAGCTGTGGAAACAGGCAAGGCAGCCGGAGAGCCCTGGAGGCCCCCAGACGATGGAGCTCCCTGACCCAGGGACACAGAGACCTTCTGGGCCTCTGGACCCTGCTATGCAGGGCTCTGTTGTCAGCTGTGACTGCTTGTTTTCCAAAAGGCAGTAGAGCCTCTCCTTGTTCCTCAGAGGAAGATGGTGCCTTCCCCTCGGCAAGATTTGGCAGGGCCCGGTGGAAGTGTCCTGCCCTCCACCCTACTTCACCTGCCCCTGCCCCTGCAGGATGAGGGGCCCAGGTTTTAAAAGCCACTCGCTACCTCCCCTGCTCTCACCCTAGTGGGTCCTAGAGAGGACCTCAGGTTCAGAGCTGCAGAGGGCTTTGGGGATCACTTTATCCAACGTTAGGAGAACCGACCAGGCTCAGGCTCCAACTCCCAGTGCATAAGGGCCACTTCCCCCGAGGCAGGGCAGGGACACCCTCTCCTCCAGTCCTGTAGCATGGCCCTCCAGGCCCACCTGCACCCCTGGGAGGCCCTGCTCATGGTGCTTCCCTGAAGGAACAGGCTTCTGTCTGTGGGTGGCAACCACAGAAACCAACGTGCCTGGTTCAACTGATGTGACTTGTTCAAAGCCCATCGCCCCAGTCCCTTGCTTCTGCCTCAGTTACCCCATACCACCTCCCTGCTTTGGAGCATGGGGGATGAGAGTGGGCCAGGCCCTAGGGAGGGGAGGCGGTTACAGGGCCTGACTGCAGCTTTCTGGGCCCCACTGTAGGCCAAAAGTATATTTTCTAAGAGGGCAATGCATTGGGTTTATTTATTTTTGCTAAGAAGGTTTCTAGGTGGCAGGTGCTGTCCTAGGGAGGAGGTGTTCTCAGTAGACACAGCCAGCCAAACTGTCCTTTCTGCTTCCGTCCCTTTGTGCCAGCCCTGCCGCCTGCCAGCTCTCGCTGCCTCAGAGCCAGAAGGTCCTTGGCCTGAGTACTAGCAGCCCCTGGGGAGAGGACCCAGCTCCCTCTAGTAATGGACACCACCCCTCCTCCCCCAGGGCAGCTGGAGCCTCTTCTTTGGCAGGGTCCCCTCTCCCTTCCCCAGGAGGCTCTGTGCCCGCAGTCCTGGGCCCAGTGATCCTCCCGCTCCCCCTGCCAGTGGCTGGAACCGGCAGGCTGGGAGACAGATGGCCGGAGGCTCTGCCCACCAGAGCAGCTTTCCAAGAGGCGAGCAGGGGCAGGAGATGCTCCCTCTGGTGCTGGGACGTGGCAGAGAATGCTGTGGCCAGGGTGGGGGTGGGGAGTAGAGACAATGCTAATGTGTCCCCTCACCGTGGGCCCTGCTGCTGGCAGGAGGACCAAAGGGGCCTGCACTAACGCTGTCACTGACGAGGGTTAGGCTGGGCTGGAGGGCTGTGCTGTGGTGGGGAAGCCCTGCTGGGGACCCAGCCCCACCCCCAACCTGCACTGCTACCGCCCTGGCCGCGGGGCATGCTGGGAGGCCTGCTTGGCTCGCTGGCGCCTCAGCCTCACAAAGACTTGGGCCTCCCGATCACCCTTCCGGCTGTCCAGTAGCTGCAGGATTGGGTCCCCTGTGGAGAGAGGGGTTAGGGTCAGAGCTGGGGACAGGCAGTGCCTGGTGCGGGGGATGATGGATGGGGGACACAGCACCACCCCATCCCATCCACCTGGAAGGAAGCCAGCGAGCAACCCGCACCAGCAGCTCACCAGACACGGCCTGCCAGCCAGCGCCGCTGGACGCTGACCCGGCTGTAGTGCGAGGGGCTGAGACAGGCCTCAGGTTGTGACTATTACCTTTTTATATGAGAGCAGGAAGCTAGCTAATTAACCCTTTGTGCCTCTGTTTACTCACCTGTAAAAGCACTAATAATACCTGCCTCATTGGTTGTAAGAATTGAGGGTTAGGGTGTGTAAAGTGCTTAGAGCTGGCCCGTGGTAAGTGCACAGGCACGTGAACTACTGTCATCAAGCTGGGGGACACTGTGCAGGGATGTGTCCCCTGCTCAGAGCCAGGCCCCTCTCCCGCAGTAAACTCCTTGGTGACCTGCCTCTGAGAGAGTCCCATTACACTTGGCCTAGCTTAAATTTCACTGGTCTCTCAATTAGACCAAGAGATGTGCCATGGCTCATTCCACTGGCTTCCATCTCCGCAGAGGCACTTCTCTGACCCCGGCATCCCCTCTCTGGGGCCCTGTGCCGCCCTGGGCTCAGGCCTACCGTTGGGTGTGGGGTATGTGAGGGGCAGACGGGTCTGTGGCACTTCGCCAGTCTCCTCGGAGCCGGTCAGCCCAGGCAGGTCGCACAGCGGCAAGAAGGCCTCCCCTTCCAGGTCATCCGCTCCCAGGGTGTCATGGTCCAGCACGGTAAGCAAGAGGCATGCCCCAGCCTTCTGGCAGGACTCGGCAGACACCAGGCTGGCAGGGAGAAAGCCGCGTTCAGCCGCCTGCCCCGAGCACTGCCATCCCCCATCCCTGACACAGGGCTCCAGCCCCTTGTTGATAGGCCGAGACTGGGAGAAAAATGCCACAGCCTATGAGGTTTTGCAAAGTCAGCTCTCAGCCATATGATACAATGGGTGACTTTAAACCAAGGGTCCTATGTCTCCAGGCCTACCTGTCTTGAGGAACAGAGAACCTCAGGGACAAGACCCTTCCCTGGAAGCCTCTGAGCTCAACATGTGGGAGTCCACCCCTTGCCCCAGGGGAAGCAAGTCTTGTCCCAGGTGCCCCTTCCCTCGGGCCCAAATGTGGTTGTCTCAGGGGAGTCCAGGCTGGGAGAAGAGGGAGGACCCACTCACAATTCAAAGGTTTCATCAAACAGTGGGTGAAGGTCCTTCTTGTGTTTCTGGGTCTCCCGGGCAGCCAGCTCAGGGAACTCATGCCTGGGCTCCAAGGTCAGCTGGACAAAGGGGTCGCTGGAGCCTGGCAAGTGGCCCAGGGAAGGAGGCAATGGCTGAGGGTCTCTCAGTCACCCTGCCCCCACCCCAGCGGCTGTTCTTTGTTCAGCATCACCAACCCCTCCTGGTAACCAGGAGAAATGCACCCAGAGCTCTTGCCAAGTGAGCAAAGCCCCCCAGGGACACGGGGACTTGGGCACATGGAGAGTGGCCAGTGGACAGCCTGCACTCACCGTTGGAGTCCAGGGGCAGCAGGCTGGAGGCGCTGAGCAGCTCCACATGCAGCTTCTGCTCGGAGGCGCGGTAGGAGGCCTTGACTGTGACGGCCCCCAGCTCCTCAGAGGTGGTTTCTGCCTGAGGGAGTGGAACGACATGGGCAGGTTCAGCTGGGGCAGGCGGTGGGCCCAGGGTCTGCAGTGGATGCAGCGCCAGGGAGAGGACCCTCACCTGCTGCTGGATGCGGCTGCAGAAGTACTTCCGGATGAGCTCCCGGCTGGAGGCTGCCTGCAGCTCCAGGTCTCTCTGCAGAGCCTGGGAATGGGCACCCCTGAGAACCCACCTGAACTGTCACACGGACCATGGCCCAGCCCTGCCCCCAGGAGCTCACAGCCAAGGGGCAAGACGTCAGTTTGAAATGGAAAGCACTGGGATGATGGGACCACTCGCAGGGGTGCACCGTCAGGAATGCCCAGGCAGACAGCAGGACAGGCACAGGCAGGGCTGGCCTCACAGGCATGTGCCTGTGCTTAGAGGGACTGCACGCTTAGTTTAATGCTCTGCTGTCACCGTCTTAAAATCAGTAACAATTTCTGAATAAGGGGCACACCTTTCCATTTGGCACTGGGCTCCATAAATAACGTAGCTTGTGGTGGGCACAGGTGAGCACAGAAAGGCTGGCGCCCCCACCTTCCTACCTGGAAGCTTGCCAAAAAGCCCCCTACCTGGAATGTGGCTGTGTGCAGGGCCTCGGGCAGCAGGCCACAGCCCTCGGCGTGGAAGCAAATCTCCAGGTTCTGCATGGAGACACCAGAGGTGACCCCAGGCTCTCTCCCAACAGGGCCATCACCGCCAGGGCTGGCGTTATTACCTGCAGGGCAGTCTTCAGCCTGCTCGAGGCCAGGGGCGAGCTGCGTTGGGAGGCGGCCGCCTCCGCCAGCTCCGTGAGCGTGTGGGTCCAGAGCAGGGTCAGAAGACTGGGGTGAGGCCCAGAGGGATGCCAGACACAAGATGGGACATGAGGAAGAGAAAGTGAAGATGCTCTTGACAAAGGGGAGGCCTTGGGGACCCAGGCCTATGCCACTCCTCCCCTCCACCTGCCCCCCAGGTGAGGCTCGGGAGGAGAGCTGGTCTCCTGAGGGAAGGAGGCCGAGCAGGAGCAGGTGGGGTCAGTCCTAGCCACTCTCTCAGCCTCTGGAAAGACCCTCCTTGGCAGGATCATGGAACCCAACAAGCAAGGCCCAGGCAGGGGCGGATGGGGAGGAGGCCAGGCCCCCGAGAAGAGCCACGACTCAAGCCTGGAGCAGCCACGGCACAGACAGAGCACCCAGCGGGGACAAGCACCTACGCTGCCTTGCAGGCGGAGCAAAAGCAACTGACACAGCCCTGATATGGACCTGGAGTAACGGAGATCAACACTCGTCAGAGTAGAGTCTGGCGGTTAAGTACAAAAAAGTACTGTGTCATTAAGAATGGGGAAGCCTATATTAAAAGAAGTCTATTAATTTATTTTTTCAACATGGTTAAGTGCCCATTATGCATCAGGGACTGTTCTAAAGGCTTTTGAGACAGCACAGAGCAAAGCTCCCATCTCAGTGGGGATTAAATTCTAGTTTATGTGGGGGAAGAAAAGCTGAAGAAATGGCATAATAGCATAATATGGCCTAAGAAATATAGACTGCGGACTCCTGTGGGCCCTGGCTATACCGATGGGGCACAGCAGGACTCTAGGAGGGCAGGAGCACATGGAGGAGGTTGTTGTCATCGTCACCATGGCCAACAGTTATTGACCACTTCCTTTGTACCGATACTGTTCTCAGCACCTCACGTGACTGATTTAATCCTCAGTAGATACCAGAACCGTTACCACTGGCACTGAGAACCGGAGTAACTGCTCAAGGCTGCTGAGCAGCTGGGAAGTTGGGGTCTGAGCCCATGTGCCGGACCCCACTCCCTCCTGCCATGTGTCCTGGGTCCCTGTTTTAAGACACCCTAACTAGAAGTTCTCCCTGCATTGTGGGCAAGGAACACCAGTTGCCTGTAACAGCAGGAGGGCAGAGAAGCGGTCAGGGAGGCCCTGAAGACAGCGGGGACTAGGAGGAAAGGGTAGGCGGGTTTGACTCAGCCTGAGGAAGAACACATAACGCTCAGAGCTGGGCAGCATGGAGGCAGGCTTGTGAGGTCGTGAGATTCCTGTCCCTGGGAGCAACCATTTGAGCAGAGGCTGGTTATACCCCTAAGGGAGGTCACCAAAGGGTTCATCCTCCATCCCTCAGAGTGGATGCTGAGGGGAAGGAGGGCCGGGTAGGAGAAGGGATGGAGGTGGCAGGGGGACCCAGGGCAGGGGCTGCTGCAGACCTGCTGAAGTTCTCCTGCACCAAGTTGGTGTTCATGTAGCAGAGCTTCACTTCCAGAAACTTCATCAAGGGCAGAATGGCCTGGGGTGGGGGGTGGGAACACATCTGACTTTGGCCCATTTCTGTCCCACCCAGGTTCCCTTGCCCTGACCTCCAGGGAGGAAACAGGGCCAGGAGATTTTGTGTGCCCGGTTTGTAACGTCTGCAGGACCCAGCCCTGCCCACTCTGCCTCCCTTGCCCCATTCCCGGGTCTGCTCCAGCCACAACGGCCTCCTCTACAGCCCTCGATGCTGCCAGCATGAGCCTGCCTCAGGGCCTTTGCTCATGCTGTTCCCTCTGCCTGGAATGCTCTTTGCCTGGAAAGCCTCATGGCTCCTTCCCGTGCTTCCAGTGGGACTTGACTCAGCTGTCACCCTCTGAGTAAGGCCTTCCCAGGCTGCTTTCTAAAAATACAACCCTATGACACTTCCCACCCCCTTCTCTGTTGTATTTTTCTCTTCAGCACTTATCATCATGGTGCACGCTGTGTGTGCGTGTGTGCACGCATGTCCATCTGTGTGTGTATTTATAGTTAGAGCCACAACTACCGCTTACTCGTGTAGCTCTTCTTAACCCCCATGGCTAGAATGTAAGCTCTAGGAAAGCAGGAATTTTCATCACATTGTTCACTGATCCATCCCCAATTTGTAAATCAATGCCTGGGACAAAATGTGTGCTTAATGAATAGTTGATGTATTAATGAATAACCTTCTCCCGAACCATCAAAGGTGTGCATCATGACATATGCCCTTACAGGTGAGGGCCCAGGGTAGCTGGCTCGCATAAACAGGACAGCAAAGGTGTGGGCAGCTGAGAAGGATGCACGCCCAGGTCTGCTGGCTGCAAAGGCTAAGCCTGCCCCCACCGCAGCCCCCATGTTGACTGCAGTGTCGGGGAAGCCTGTGGAGTCACCCAGCCCAGACCATGAAGCATGCAAGGAGGAAACCAAGGCCCAGGGAGAGCTTATCTCTGATACCCCAAGGCCTTCAGCCCCCCTGCCCACCCTCAGTCCACTTCCCAACACCAGACCCACAGAGCCAGCAGGGCAGTGGAGGGCAGTGAGCAGGAGGGTCACTCACGTCCTCAGGCGGGACAGACTCCTTGACGTCCACAAGTTTCTGGATGTGCTTGGCAATGCCCACCTCCAGCTGGGGACACAAAACGGTAGAAGGAGGGAGGTCAGGGCATGAGTAGGGCCTCAGTTTAGGTGCAGGAGGGGGTGGGGGCTGGACAGCAGCCCAGGTCCTGCTGGGACCAGGCTTCAGGCTGAGGACGGGGTGGGATGGGGTTGCCATGGGGTTGGACAAGGTACCTGCTCGGCCAGAGTGCGGACACCAATGCGGATCTCATGGCCCAGCCCGGCCAGCGCGCCCTGTAGCTGCGCATGCAGTGTGTTCTGCAGCTGCCCCTGCTCCAACACGGCCCCTACACGCTGCTCCAGGGCCTCCCATGCCAGCTGGGTGGGCAGCTTGCCGATCACCAGCCGCAGCTGCTCCATGTCATTCACCACCACGCACAGCTGGGGGAAGGCATGGGCACAGGGACGCAGAGCTTCCTGAACTGCGCCAGGACTGGCACTCCCTCCTGGCAACACCCTCAGCCCCAGCTCTGGCCCTTACCATGTTGGCTGCCTGGCCCTGGTCCTTCTGGCCTGCAGAGAGCTCGCGGGCCCGGGCCTTTATAAGGCTGCAGTACACCAGGGCCAGCCGACAGGTGTCCTGGGGTGGGGTGGGACAGAGGGAATTGATCCAGGGAAGGACAGATGGGGGCATGGGAATCTCAGCGACTTGGGGGATTTAGGAAACAGGCTTTGGGAGGCTGCTGGTGTGATAACATGGAGGAAATGCTGGGTGGTAGTGGGGCTGTCCTAGGAAGGGGGGAAGGACACATGGAAGACACTGCACCTCCACGAACTTGACAGTGATCATGAAGGCCTCCTCTGGGTCCGGCCAGTCCAGCTGCCGGGCAGTGTGGCTGATCTGGGCGAAGCAGGTGGACAGATCCACGGCTGACGTGCTATGCTTGGTCAGTTCACCCAGGGGCACCAGCTGGAGGAAGGGAGACGTGCTTAGAAAGCAGGGCTCGGGACACTGCCAAATCCACCCTCCTCCCTCCTTCCTTAAGCCTTCACAGAGCAGCTGCCACTGCCAAGCACAGAGCTGGGCAGGGGGCTACCCGAGGGGACAAGCAAAGCTCAGCCCAGACCCTTCATGCTGGAGAACCATCTGCAAAGTGAAGCCACAGTTAACCGCAAGGACATCAGGAGGCAGCGTTTTGCACAAAACTGGCCTCAGGAGCACACAGAAGGGAGGTTCCAAGCGCGTCTCCCGCTTCTACCACGCCCGCCTTCAAGGCGGGGTGAGCCCAAGCCCAGGCCCGCCCCACCTGGTCCATCTGCACCGCGCGCTGCACGCGCGCCAGGGCCACGCTGTACGTCTTCTGCAGCCAGGAGGGGATGGCTGGCTGGAACCAGCAGTGGAAACCGTCCAGGGCCAGGACTCCGTCCCTGGGGAGAGCCAGGGCTCAGCCTTGGGAAAGGCTGGGCCCACTTGCGGGTCCCAGGCCCTCTTGGACCCTCCTCTCCCCTGTGCCCCGCAGCCCACCCACAACCGCCTGCTGGCCACCTCTGCGAGAGCACCGCCTGCAGCTGGCAGAGATCCTTGAGGCTGACGTAGAGCTGGAACAGACTCTCGCCCACTTCTGGGGACATGGGGCTGCCAGCTGCCGCCATGTGGTCCTTCACCCGCTTGGCCACCTGCAAAGGAAAGGTGAGGTGGGCAAGGTACTCGGAGCCCGGCAGAGGGCACGGCCTGGAGACGGCGGGGAGACTCACCAGCCACTGCAGCTCCAGGAAAGCCAGGGAGAAGAGGTCAATCTTGAGGACACTGGAGGAGAGGCAGCAGGCGTCACCCAGGGGCACATGCCAGGGCCCCTCAGTCCCGCTGCCCCCTGCCCCTTCTGTCTGCTCACTTGTGGAAGATTTTGTTCCACGTGTGCTGGCACTGCTGCAGGTCGCCAACGATGTCCTGTACTAGGCTCAGCAGGGCCTTGCCCGCCTCCAGCATGCCCTGGTAGGGACAGAGGTGCGCTGAGCAGGGCTGCGAGGGGAAGGCACCTCCACCCCAGTGCCCGCCCAGCCCCTCACCTGCACCATGGGCTGATGGTGCTGCTGCTTCAGGTGGAACCACTCAATGGTGCCAGTCTGCCGGCAAAGAGACAGTGAGGACGGGGTTGCTAGGCCCAGATGCACGCCCTCCCCGTACCCGCTGGGTACCGTACCCGCAGGGCCTCGGTCACCAGCTGGGACAGTGGGGCGCTATCTGGGCACAGTTCTCCAAAGGCCTTCATCTTGCACATCTGTACCAGGACCCTGCGAGGCGGAAGGGCCGTGTCCAGGATGCCGGCCACTGCACACCCGCCGCTCTCCCCCAGCAGGCTTCCCCCACCCTGCAGTGCCCCTGGCTGCTCCCTCGTCCCTGCCACCCCGAGGCAGAGGAGGGGAGCCACTGACCTGAGGAGAGACTGCAGCCGGGCCGGGGAGTCGGAGACAGAGAGGGGGAAGACCGAGCGGAACCTCCGGGTGAGGGAGAGGCCGTAGGCCAGCAGGGACCGGAAGGAGGAGGCCAGCTCCTCCCGCTGCAGAGCCAGGAACTTCGTTAGGGGGCCCGACAGCCCTTCCCCTCCATGGCCCTGCCTGCCAGCACCCCGTGTCCCACCCCAAGCCCACCTGCTCTGCCTTGAGCCGGCCCTGGATCCACTGGTACTCGATGCTGGTGATGGGGTGTAAGAGGCAGCCGCTGGGGAACTCCAGGCTCTGGTAGAGGCGGCTGTAGGCCAGCCACTGCCTGCGGGACACGGGCCCTCAGCCGCGGGGACGGCGCCCACCGCAAAGCCACCTGGGGAGCCCCGCCTAACCGCACATGCTGCAAGCTAGTGGCCCCCAGGAGTTCGCTTGTTTCCACAGGTGCTTTTCAAATCGCCCAGCTCTTAAATTGGGATATTTATCATTTTAAAATGTCAGGTTCCTCTTGTTGCTTCTTACCAAAAAAAAAAAAAAAAAATGTCAGGATTTCTTGCTTTTTGTGAAAAATCAGATCTAGGGACTTGAGCCTTTGTGCACAGATGGCAAACATCAGCTGGAACTTCCCTCCATGTGTCTCTGGGTGACTTCAGACATGAGGTCCCAGTGGCAGGGCAGAGGATGTGGGAGAAGAACTACCCAGGGACAGGCCCAGGTCCCTACTGGACACAGTGGCCACCTGCATTCCATGCTTGGGCGCTGCAGGCAAGCCAGGCCCCTCACGGCCTGGTGCTGGCTCCGGTCTCCAGCCTCACGCCATCCCACCTGCTCCAGGAAGACTCGCCCGCCCTGTGGCCCAGAAGCTCACACGCTGCCCTCAGCCCAGAACTGCCTTCCACAGCCTCCCTCCGCCTCCCTCAAGGCAGCGTTCTCCTCTCCTTCCTCCCCGGCCAGCACCTTGGCTGGGCCCCTCCATCTGCCCTTCTCACATGCACTGTATGTCTATGACTCCGTGTGTCCTTCGCGACATTCCCAGAATCTGACAAGGCGCTGAGGCATGCCAGGCATCAACACAGATTTGTTAATGTCAACACATGGATTTTCTGGCTCGATGGCTCTGGCACTGGGAGAGGGGGATGGCCTGGGGCAGCAGTGGCAAACTCAAAGCCCAGAGGACTCCAGAGATGTGAGTCACTGAAGTGGGCCCAACAGCGACCGTGATGGATAGAGGTGGACACGCTGCTCTGCTCTGGCCAACCGCACACAGCCCAGCAAAATGACGACCCTAGCTGGAGATCTGGATTGGTACGTGAAATCTCTAGGTTTTTCAAAGTTGGAACTGATTCAAACTTAAAACACAGTTTGGGCCAAAGAGAACTCTCTCAAGGAGTGGACTTCGGGCTGCAGGCTTGTAGGAGGGCGGGAGGGGTGGGAAGGGGCTGTGCACTCACGCCATGGACTGGTGGAAGTCGGACAGGTCCTTCTGCGTGGCATGGAGAAAGAGGATGGTGGCAGCCTGGGGACTCAGCGATCCGTCCCAGGAGGTGCTGCCCGCCTGAGGGGAACAGATGGACGAGTGTCAGGACCTGGCTGGCAGCCCGGGCCCCGCCCCACCTTGGGAGGGCAGTACCTGGTGCTGCGTGACCTCATGGGACACGAGCTGCTGCAGAAGGTGGAGGTGCACCGTGTAGCTGGGCTGGGAGCGGCTGGCCGCTGTGGCTCTCTGCAACAGGGCCTCAATGAGCAGACAGGACCCCACGCCAGGTGCAGCTGCCCTGCCCACCCCAGCTGGGGCACTGAGGGGGCGGCACACAGCCCCTGGCCCAGACCCCACACCTACCCGCTTGTGAATGAGCTGGAACTGGAGGTGGCACTGGCCACGGTCCGGGTAGGTCTCGGTGCAGGGCTCCAGGGAGTACCACTGGTCCTCTCGGCAGCGCAGGTCCTACGGGACCACGGGCGTCAGGACCTCCCGCAGTCAGGGGGAAGGGAGGCGATGGGAGCAGACCCCAGGTTCTGCTTGGTGTGGACCTGGAGCCCCTCCCCAGACCCCATCCCACCTCGGCCTCTCCTGGGCCCCTTTCCCCACCTCACCTGCAGCCTCAGAACCACGTTCCCCAGAAAGTCGTCCTGTCCTTTGTCCTTCCGGGCCTCCTTAAAGATCCTATTCCAGGCAGGGTGTGTAAGGGAGACGGCCAACCAGGCTGGAATGTGCCCCCACCTGCGACCACCTGTGGCCTAGCGTCCAGTGGGGGTGCAGGAGCCCCTACTCCTTTCCTATGCGCCCTGAGGCACCCACCTCCGAAGTCCGTGCAAATCTGTGAGCTCCCCCAGCTTCTGTCGGACAGACTCTACCGTGTCCAGGTCCCTGGGGGGCAGAGGTTTGAGTGGGAGGCAGAGAGGGTGTCTGTGACCCCTTCCAGGAGGGAGTGTTGCCACCCTCCGCCCCCAGACCCCTTGTCTTCCTGTCCCTAGGGGTAGGCCATGTCACTTACCACATGTCCAGATGAAAGCTCGCATTGGCGATGTCCTCAAACTCCCTTGTAGGGAGAAAAGGGCAAGGTTGAAGACCTTAGAGGGTAGGACCCCCTCAACCAGAATGGGCCACAAGTGACCTCAGCCCAGAGCCTGAACCCCACAACTGCCATCCCCAATATCAGCTGCTGTGGAATCTTGGCCAGTCCCTACCATATCCCTGCTCCCCTCCCAGCCACACCCCTCCCTCCTTTAAGGTAAGGCTTTAGGCACCCCAGATTCACCCAGAGCCTTCTTCCTGCCCACCCCCCGCACATGTGGCATTGAAGTTACTGGTCTGTCTTGTCTGACCTATGCTGTCTTGAGGGTGGGCTCCTCCTCCAGTCTTTGCCCAAGGCCAAGCCTTGCCTTGAGCCAGGAAGACCCGCTGATCTCTCAACTTGGGGAAACCCTACCACCCAGAGGATCCCCAGACAGGGTGGGGGCTGGGGCAGGGCCACATACAGGATGAAGGTCTCGTCCCAGACGGGGTTGAGTGTCTGGTTGATGACTTGGGTGCGGTGGGTCTGTTCCTCGGGGATGGTGTGCCTCACCACGGCCTTCTGCCGGCGCCGGGCCCCCGGGCTGTCCCCTGGCACGCCCACCCCCTGCTCGATGCCCAGCAGGCAGTAGGGGTCACTGAACCCTGGAGAGCAGTAGGGAGGATGAGGCAGCCAGGGGGTCTGCTGGGCTCCCTGGGACAGCCCCTCATACCCCGCCCCTGGGGCTGAGCCCAGGCCCCTCGAGCAGGACCAGCAGCACTGGCCCTGGGGACCATACAGGAGTGTGCCCTCCTGCCAGCAGGAAGCAGCCCTTTGGGCATCCCACCCACACTCACCACTGACGTCCTTGCCCAGGATGCCCTTGGCCTGTTTCACCGTTGCCTTCAGACAAAATATTGGCTTCTGGAGGGACGGGAGGGGCGACCTGAGTCCCAGAGAGAGCTGGGCTTCCCAGGCCCCCTCCTGGCCCAGGGTTACCTGGAGCTCCCTGACCCGCTGCAACGTCCGCTGATGCTCCTCAGGCTCCGCGTGGAAGGCCTGTGTGGAGGCAGCCCACAGGGCAGGGGTGTAGCGGGCTGGGGGCACAGGGTGGGGGCTGGGCTGGGAAGGGGGGTTCCCGAGTCCCAGCTGCAGGAAGGGGTGGCTGGGACTGGGCTCACCTCCTGTAGGTACCGCAGTAGCTCAGAGGCCTCAATCACATGGTTGGGCTCCGGCTGCCCCAGGCGGTGCAGGACAGTGTAGAGAGCTTCCTCGTAGAGCAGGGTCCGCTGGGACACACAGGGGTCACCTCAGGAGCCCCATCCCTGGCACCCATACCACACAGCCACAGCAGGGCCAGGCGCCACATGTGCGGTAGAGGGGGTTGGGACCCAGAAGTCCCCTCCACACCCTAGGTTGCTGCCATCAGCCTTGGCCAGTAGCTGCAGGGGGGTACTCACGAGGATGCACCCCCAACCACACCCCGACTCTTACCTCCTCGGGGGAGAGTTGGTGGGATGGAGGCTCGATCTGGAGAGCAAGGTGGAAAGGCAAGGTGGTGTCTCTGGAGGCCAGGCCCAGCCCCAGGGCAGCGGGGCCCAGCACCCAGCCTCCAGCCCCACAATGCCCCACACCTGTTCCCACAGCAGGCCTCCTGGGAGGCCAGCCCCCAGGCCGCCTTCCTTGTCCCCAGGCCTGCGGCGGCTGAGGTCCATGGGTGCCCGGCTGGCCCAGTGGCGCACCCTCCGCGCCCGTCGCCCTCGCCCCCACCTCCCTTCCTTCCCCAGAGGAAACAGCACTGCTTATCGGCGGGCGCTGCTCCCCACCCAGCGGCGGCGGAAGTGAGGCCCAGCTGAGGTGAGGGGGATGTGAGCAGGCCCCGGGCTACTCCGCTGGTCCCCAAGCAGCCCACCCCACAGCAGGGACACCCCCTGTCTAATGGAGCGGGTGCCTCTGGAGCTGGAGGAGCAGGGGACAGAGCCAGCCCACCAGGGGGAAGGCTTCAGAGAGGCTCAGCCCCCTGAACATAGGCCCACGGTGGCCCAGGGACACCTGGCAGACCGGCTCTGCTGGCCCAGAAGGCTCAGCCCAGGGGCTGGGGGGGGGCAGGGAAAGGCCCCTAGTTCTCTGTCCCAGCCTCCCAGAGGTGGGGCCGGAGAGCAGGGCACCACGGAGCCCCAGGCTGCTCTCCTCACCACTGAGGTCACTCCTACCTCCTTCTGGGGTAGAGGATCCTGCAGGTCTCTGACCCTGCGGCGCCTTATCTTGATGGCCTGGCGCAAGAGGGGAGGGCGCCGCTGGGGGTTGGAGAGGAGTGTCGCCATGGTGGCCCGCTCTGCCCTTCCCCTCGACTGTCCGCTGCTCTGGCACGCTGGGTAAGGACAGGGAAGCCACAGGATTATGCAAAGAGCACGGGGCTGCCACTCTCTGCCAGGGGAGGGCAGAGGAGGGCAGTGGGGAGGATGGAAGGGTCAGGGTTTCACCGGCGGGGGGCGGGGGGGTGAGGTGCGTCTCCCAGGCGCCCTGCACCTTCCTCCAGCCAGAATCCTTGCAGTACCCTCCCCAGGCTGGAGCCCGAGGTGGACCTGGTGGGCGGGCCCGGCCCCACCCCACCCTCCTACGGGGGCCGTGGGAGGGTTCCAGCACTCCCAGCAGGGGGTGGCAGGGCCAGGAGGGCAGCCCTGCCCCATCCACGTGCTGCACCCAGGCAGGCTGGGGTCCCAAGGGAAGCTGACCTGGGCCTGTGGGATTCTCACTTAACTTCCCTGAATTGGTGCAGGTAGGGTGGGGCAGGGCTCAGGGCGGGGTCTCCTGAGAGGCGTCCCAGCTGCAGCCAACTGCTCGGCCTGCCCAACCCCACAGGTGACATTCCCCAGAGGTGACAGGGCCTAGCTGTGCTGTGTCAGCACCCCGCCCCCACTGTGACGGTCAGGAGGTGCTCCCTTCAAATGCCCTTGTAGGTTTGGGGGTTTGGCCAAACCCGAAGCTCCTGGGCGGGGCGGGCCAGAGGCAGAGGCAGGAGAGGACCTGCTGCGCCCAGGCTCTCCCAAGAGGATGGACTTGGTTCACAGGGGACAGCACTGGGCTTTCTCAGAGCTCTGCGACCTGCTGACCCTGTGCCCAGTGCCTTGGCTGGGAGGGTGGCAGGAGGCCACACACTGCAGTGGCGGGCCTGGCAGAGCTGACCCTGCCAGGCTTCCAAGGTGCATCCATGTCATGGCCTCCTCCCTCAGGAGCCTGGGCCAGGGCTGCGATGCCCCTGTAGCCGGCAGGGGACAGGCCAGGAGGCACATGGGCCTCCCACACCCTCCCCCCAAGCCCCAGCGAGGTGCAGCTGCTGAGCAACTGCCTCAGGGATGGGGATAGAGATCCCAGGAGGAGCAGTCCCAGGACCACATAGGCCGTGAGAACCAGGAACTGTCCCCTAGGCGGAAACAGTCGCCCAAGCCTCCCAGGGGCCCTCTGCATCCAGACAGCTGTCCTTCCTCAGTCACCTCCGTCACCACACACAGAGCCAGAAAGGGTTGTTACTTCATTTTTACTATTTCACATTTTCAGCAAACAAATCAAGGTGCAAACAGGGTTTATTTCACATTAATATATTAACTGGATTTTTTTTTGTCAAATAAATAGGGAATTCTCTTTAAATAACCATCTCCTCACTTCATGGTCAGTCCAGGAACAAACAAGCAAATTTTAGCGCATCCAGGGGGCACAAAGCTTAGAAGGAGGACAGGCTGAGGGGCTGGCGGCTGGGTCAGGGCCCTTTGCTCCCAGCCCACCCAGCAGCCCCCACGTGGCAAGACAGGACAGACGTGCGTTCTCCAGTTCCAGTTGAGAAGCCCCTTCTAGAGGGAAGGCAAATTCCAGAAAAACTAGCAGGGACGCAGAGGGGCTTTCTCCCCGCCCAGCCGCAGTGGCCTCACCCCCATACCACCCAACCCCTGGAAGCTCATGTTAAAGCTTCAGGAGTCACACACAGGTGGCAACAGCATGACCAGGGCCAGGGAAGGGAAGGGAGGCGAGTGTGGCCGGGCCTGGAGCCTGGCGCATGGAATGTGGGCTGACAGTCCCTTCCTCGCCCAGGCACAGGCCAGCAGAGGAAATGGGAGCAGGCCTACCAGGGCGGGGGACCTTAGTGCAGCAGCTGCCAGACCAAGGGAGCTGGACTGAGGTGGAGGAGGTGGCCAGAGAGTCCCTTGTGGGGAGAAACTACAAGAGCAAAACAGGAACAAGGGGACACCCTGTGCTCCCAAGGAGAGCCCCAGAGATGGTGAGGGAGGTGTGCTGAACAGTGCCGCGGGCTCCGAGCTGGCATGGGAAGCTGGGTGGCATCTCTCCAGAGGCCAGGGGCCCCTCTGTCCCACAGTGCTAGTTCTGGTGACTGTTTATAATCAGACCTGGAGGAAGACAAGGCCCTCCCTCGCCTCCCCAAGTCCCAGCCACAGTCCCAGGGGAGGGGAAGGAAGGCGCTGGGTGAGAGGCAGGGAGGCGGGTGGGTCTACTGCGTCTTCTTATCTTCCGGGGGGTAGTAGGGAGGTGGTGGAGGCTGGTTCTAAACAAGGAAGAAAGGAAAGATCACATTGGAAGGTCCAAAACCAGACAAGGTCTCCCTGTCCCTAACTCCCAGCTTCCGTGGCTGAGGGGCTGGCCACCCCCACTCACCGTGGGCATGTAGACGTTGTGTGGGTTGCCTGGGTTGTAATAGGCGCTGGCAGCTGCTTCTGCGGCCTTGGCTTCAGCTGCGAGAGCAAACACACCTGGCATTGGCGACAAGCCGTCCCCTCTTGTGGCTTCCCCAGGAACTGAGCTCAGCTTGCGACCCCTGGCCCCCAAGGCCCAGGGTAGCTGGTGCTCGGGGCCCAGGTCCATCAGTAAAAACAGCAGTTAAAATTCCCTGAGCACTTGCCATGTACTGGCACTGTCCCTTCCAGCCCTGTCACAATGTCTTACCCCAGCTAATCTCCAACCCAACCCCACCAGGTGGCACCATAACCATCTGTTTGTAGATGAGAAGATTCAGGACACTGGGTGACTTTCCTGGCTTCATGGTTCATGGCTAAGGGACTAGGGGACTGGAATCCGGCTCTGTACTACCAGGCCCCCACCCTGCTGATCCCCTGGTGAAGTCCCTAGGCCAGGGCTCATCCATCATTTGGGGCTCCCCGCCAGCCTCTGGCCGTTCTCTGAGGCTCTCTGCACGACCTCAGGGAGGCAGCCCAGGGGCCTCACCTGCAGGAGTGGAGGGGACATCAGGGCCACTGACTGGAGGTTCCATGGGCCCAGGATAGGGCGGTGGTGGGGGCTGCACATATCCCATGGCCCCATCCATCATGGGAGGTCCTGGATAGAACTCTGCTCGGCAAGAGAATGACAGGTACTTGGTGACCGCCCCAGCCATGCTGCCATAGAAGGCTGCCTCCCTGGGAGCCACACAGCCCAGCCCTCAGCTGGCACCCCCCAGCCTCTCCAGCTCCTTGTTAGTCCTGAAGCAGCTCGAGGAACGAGTCTGTCCTCTACAGCCCCCTGGCCTGGGAGGAGGTGGTTAGTGGGTGGGGTGAGGGCAGGCAGCAAAGGACACACTCACCAGGTGGGGGCGGTGGGTAGGGGTAGCCAGGAGGGCAGGGGTACATTCCATTGGCGACTGGCGGGGGAAAGACATAGGCCCCGCTGGGCATGTAAGAGTACCCATAGGCTCCATTGGGGGCTTCACCTCTGGAGGCTATAAGTACAAGGGGAGAGAGAAATGAGTGTCGCCTGCCTTGGGGGTTGGGAGAGGGTGGCCCCACTGCCTGCAGAGGGAGCTGCTGGGCCCCAGGCCTGTGCCCAGCAGATGCGCCCTACCCCACCCCATCTCACTCCCCACCCACCTCTAGGTCTGCCTGGGTCAGGGATGAGGCGAGGGGAGAGGGTAGGAGAGAGAGATCAGAGCAGGGGCAAGGACAGGGAGCAGAGGTGGGTGGGAGAGGGGCTCGGGGATGGGTGCAGAAGGGGCCAGGGAGGGTGTCTGCTGAACAAGTTGCTTGGGGATTTAGACTGGTTGCTAAATGGTAGCTTAATGGCTGGGTTTTTTGTTTTATGAGGCCATAGTAAAATGTCCTTGAGTCCAAACAGCTCTGTCAAATGTCATCTACCAGTCCTAGGCAGGAGAAACCCAGTCTTGGAGGCACAGGGCAGGCTTCCTTCCTGACTCCCAGGCTGGTCAACCCAGGGCCCAGACACTTGGCTCCTGAGTGCTTAAAATGCAAAACAAAAAGTAAAAGCCCCACATAAACGTGTCCTTGGCCCCTAATCTATAGAGCCTGGATACCTTGAGATGCCACCTGGAGCATCCGTTGTCCAAACTCAATGGCGCCCCCTGCCGTGAAGGTCAACTTGTAGGAAGCCGCACCTTCCCAGCCACCTGAAAAAGGGAAGGACCATGAATAAGCAGCAGGGAAGATGTGCTACCCAAAGAGAAGGCCATCTGTTCTCTGGCCCTCACCAACGCCCTGGAGGCCGCGGGAAAAGGGCCTGCAACGTGATTGGGGGCTTCTGCCTCCGTGCCTTGGCTGCTCTGGCTGGACGTCCACATCTGAGCCTGTGCTGCAGGCTGGCCTGGCACCTCTGCACCCACTCCCACCTTTGGAACAGGGGGCTTTTCCTTCCTGGAACAAGCCTGTCTTCCCACCCCTGACCCAGTAAGTACACAGGAACTAAGGCCACCTTGGTTTGGTTTTAGAACATCAAGGGGGCTTCTCTCTGTGCCCAATAAAGCACCCAACAGCTTCACTGGAGCAAGTACACTCAGCAGAAACTCATGCTCACATTCAGAGCAGACCTGTCTTCCTGAGGGGCCAAAGGACGGACCCTGTGCCATCTCCCCTGGCTGCTCCCCAAAGGAGGACCAAGAGCTCCTCAACAGCATGGCTCGGGCCTGGCTGGGTGTGAAGGGGGAGGCAGGTTCAATGCAGAGGTCTCTGGTATCTACAAAAGAGCCGGCCACAAAGCTGGGCCCCTCAGGCCTCTTCCTCGCTCTTGTGAAAAGGCCCCTCCTGAGAACCTGACACAGCTCCTCCCCAAATCTAAAATTTGTACCTACTCCCCAGGTCACAATGAGCATCTTTACTTACTTACGGTCTTTCTGCTGACTTTACTCTCTGAAAAGGTGATCTGAGCTGCCATCTTTAATGCCAGGATTTTTTCCCAGCTCTTAGCAACCAAACCCCACCTCTGTTGCCCAGCTGGCAGCCCAGTGGTCACTCCCGAGGTTAATCCAGAGCCAGGAAGAGAGCAAGGCTAGGGTGGTAAGGCTCCAAAGAGGACATCCCAAGGCGGCAGTCACACGCACCCAGAGCACCTCCATGTCCCTGAGCTCTTACTGTCACCTACCTCCTGCTTCAGCCTTCACCATTCCCTTGATGTAGTTTGCACCAAACACAGGCTGCTTGATCTCACAGTCTTTCATCAGATAAAACGGCATCATGAAGGACTGCATGGCGTCCCTCCCCTTGGACAGAAAGATGACCTGCAGGGAGAGAGGTCGAGGGCCATCAGCACCTGAAGCACAGCCCCTCTCCAGCGCCTCCTGCTGCTGCCTGTGTGTGATGAGTCTGCCCCCCGGTCTGGCAGCCTCAGGGCTCTCTGCCGACAGCAACAGCGTATGTGAGGAGGACAGACTGCACCATTTAAGTGGCAGTGTGGAGGTGGCGGAGGTGGTGTGTAAGCGTAGGGGCCTGCAAAGCTAGGGAGGAGCAGGTGGAGCGAGGCAGGGAAGGATTCTTGAAAGGGGGAGTCTACGGCCTGAATTCTGCGGGATTGAGAATGATGGCATGGCTGGGACTGGGGCGTTAGCTCCCAGGAAAAAGGGGGCTATTGTAACCTTCCCACAGACGTCACCCTGCCCAAACAACAACAAGAGCATCCTGTGCTTGGAGAACCCCTTGGGTTTTAAACCCATGACTTCAAACTGTGACTGAAGACACTTAAGCCTCCAGAGGAGAGGTTTTGAGACTCCCCTGTTGGCTGAGTTGTGGAGATTAAACCCTAAAAATATGTTCCTCTCCTTCTAGCTGCCTTTAAGACTAAGTCTTGAGTAGCTACAGGGAGCGATCCTTTTCCAAGAACATCTACTTGTGTTTCTCTATGTCTGGGTCCCAGTGAGTAATGCCTGGGCAAGGCCCGTTCTGCAGTCTGGCATTTCTCACTGCAGGGCGCTGCCAGGCTCTCTGCCCAGTACGGAGGCTGCGGCCACCCGACTGTGTCCTGTTTATCGCCTTTACTACTCTGGATGTGCACAAGGGTTCCTGGACTACCCTTACAGAAATTGAAATGATAAGTCTCTTGCCTCCAGACCCAAGTCATCCCAGCAGCTGCATCCAAGTACATGGAGATGTTGCAGCAGCAGCTCTGGAATTGGCAATGGATTCGCTGCCCAGTGGTCAGTTTAGCTGCACAAAGAGCTTGGTGGTTCTAGAATCCAGGAGCATGTGACAGGGAAGCAGGCAGCGTGAGGCACTAACATTCACCAGAGTTCAAAGGCCACTTGATTCACAAGGCTGAGGCAAACCTAAGACTAAGACTCACATCACCTCCAAGAGTAATGAGCCTCCAAACCAACCGCCTTGCTGTGCAACTCACCCGGTAAGGGGTAAGATAGACAGTGCCTTTCTTGGTCCCTTTGAAGGCCTCTGGCACGTTCTTCATATCATTGAATGTAAGTTCCACATGATCATAGGACATTAAGATGCTGTGATAAGAAAAGAGGAAAGGCCCCAGTGAGTCAGTATGGAGATGTGATGTAACCCCCAGACACCAGCCCTCCTCCCAAGCAGCTGCCTGCACATCATCTCTCTTAACTGTCTAGACAGTGCTATGTTGAAACCATTAATATAGCCACGGAATAGATGAGCAACTTAGGGTTCTACAGAATTTCCCAAAGCCCACCTACACAGCCCCCAAATGACCAACACAGTAGAAGAGCTGCAGGGCTCAGCTACCATCCCTCAAGGCAGGTTAGATTATCTGGGTTAACTCTTATATTTTCTTTTAAGTTCTTGTGATAGGTGATCTGTTTTTTGGGATTTTTTTTTCCAAGCCCAATATATAAACATGTCTAAGCCATGACTCTGCACATTACAAAAGGGCTTCCTTCATGGTTCTTCTTTTTTTTTTTTTTTTTTGAGACAGAGTCTCACTTTGTTGTCTAGGCTAGAGTGAATGCTGTGGCATCAGCCTAGCTCACACCAACCTCAATCTCCTGGGCTCAAGCGATCCTACTGCCTCAGCCTCCCAAGTAGCTGGGACTACAGGCATGCGCCGCCATGCCTAGCTAATTTTTTCTGTATATATTAGTTGGCCAATTAATTTGTTTCTATTTATAGTAGAGATGGGGTCTCGCTCTTGCTCAGCCTGGTTTCGAACTCCTGACCTCGAGCAATCCGCCCGCCTCAGCCTCCCAGAGTGCTAGGATTACAGGCGTGAGCCACCGCGCCCGGCCCAAGGTTCTTTTAAACTTGGGATTCTTAAGCTGGGTCTTCAGGGACATCTGTCCATGAAGCCTTTGAGATGATCATGTATGTGCATTTTTTCTGAGAAGAGAGAAGTCCATAACTTTCATCATTGTCAAAGGGGTTCATGACTAGAAAAATAAAGTTTCACTATTTTAAATATCAAATTTTGATTCCTGGACTTAAACTTCAATTAACACAGACACTTATTCAGGCATGAGACTGAAGCACTTTCCAAAACAAGGCACACCCTTATTTAGCAGCACTGAGTCCTAAGCCAAGTAGAAGACCCAGTGGGATAGATATATTCCTGTCCCAGAAAAGTCCTACTGAGAGAGAAAGAAAAATAGTCCCCAGAGATGTTACCAAGTGGCATCAAAAGCTGCCCAACCCTGGGAAATGACTCGCACACAGAGATGCAACAAACAAGTAAGCAATGTGAGGTTTCTCTGATTACATGATAAAAAGGTTCAAGTTCACATGGTTCCTTTGTCTGCTCCCTCCTCCCCAATATCACCACTTTCTTGACTGGGTAAGGGTTAAGTGGGAAAGAGAACTAGTACAAAAAAAGAGAAGGAGCCGGGCGCGGTGGCTCACGCCTGTAATCCTAGCTCTCTGGGAGGCTGAGGCGGGCGGATTGCTCGAGGTCAGGAGTTCGAAACAGCTGAGCAAGGAGCAAGACCCATCTCTACTATAATAGAAGAATTAATTGGCCAACTAATATATATATATATATAATAGCCGGGCGATGGCACATGCCTGTAGTCCAAGACATACTTGGGAGGCTGAAGCAGAAGGATTGCTTGAGCCCAGGAGTTTGAGGTTGCTGTGAGCTAGGCTGACGCCACGGCACTCACTCTAGTCTGGGCAACAAGCGAGACTCTGTCTCAAAAAAAAAAAAAAAAAGAGAGAAGGATAGCTTAGAGAAAAGAAGTAATTACAAGGAACAGGTTGGGCCCATCAGACTCTGAGCAGGTAAGATGGAGGGAAAGCCAACATTCTGAGGTCTGGGTCACCCTAGGTGTTCTCCTCTGACTCATCAAGTCTTCCCAGGTGACAGGTTGGCTGGGTGCTAGCCTTAGCTGGTTATGAGGCTCTAACTCCATCATGGCTCCCTTGGAGACTCAGGTTCCTCCTAAGTTCCATCTGCCTTTAAGAGGCGATTTAGGGTTGGCACAGTTCAAACCAGGGCTGGCTGGTCTGGTCTGGTCTGATTCTCAATACTCCAGGAGCAAAAGGAGAGAGAAGCCATCCACGGAGCCAAGAGATTGGAAGAAAGACTGACTGCATTAGGCAAGGAGTGGGGAGGGTGGAGTAGAAAGAACCTTGACATTAGGAGACCTCTGCCCTGCAGAGTGACCTAAGCCAACAGGCTTTCAAGAGAAAGATGCAGGGACTAACCTTTACAAGGACCCACATAGTGCCAGGAACCGTGTTAGATGTTTGATAAAAGTCATCTATCTAATATCACCTGTGAGGCCTCAGTTTCTTACCTGGAACCTGAGCGATTCTGGAATATAGTGTAAGGCTGTACATTGGTAGTTAATCCTATTAACTTTGGAGTCAAGACTCCTTTACTGGAATTTGCCATCTCTGTTACAGAGCTGTGATCTCAGCAAGTTACTTAACCTCTCTGGGCCTCACTTTCCCCACCTGTGAAATGTGTATGCAATAGTTTCTGCCACAAAGAATTATGTATTAAAGAAGGTAGAAGAGACGCTGTGCCTGACACGTTGTAATGTAGTAAACGTCCAATAAATGACAATTATTTTTGTTTGAGGCTCCTCCTAGCTCTTAAAGTCACAATTCCGGGAAGGGGCTCAAGAACCACCCCTATGCCCCACTTGTCGCCCCAAACCCTGTCCCATCCAGCCGCCCCGCCCATCCCCCACCCCCACCGCCCCAGCTGATCGCCACACCCCGGCCCCTCCCCCACGGCCCACCCAACCTTCCAGCCCCGCCCCCAGCCGTTACCCACCCCCACCGACAGCACTCCATCAATTTTCCCTCTCCACAGGTTTATTCCCTACTGCCCGCAGCCCATGGACCACCGCCCACATTCTTGACACCCAAATTTTGGTCCTCCAGAATCCTTCCGCAGTGTCCTCACCTCTCCGTGTTGTTCACGATCACTCCGCCGCCCTCCGAATGATTCTTGTTGAGCGCCATAGTCTCTCCGAAAGGGGTCCCGAGACTCGCAACGCAGTGCGCTTGCGCCCCTCTTCGGCCCGCCCCTAGTGGCGTCGTTCGTATTAGAGTCAGCCAATCACAGCTCCTGTGCGGAGGCTGGACCAACCACCTGACCCCGGGTGTCACGTGGTAATAGTTTACTCCCTCTCCCCTCCCCCTAGTTCCGCCTGCATCACAAACCAGTTGAAGACTACGATTCCCAGGAGGCATTGCTCCCGCATCCTCCATCTCTTCCTCTGCTAGGGGAAGGTTGCATTCTGGAACTTGTAGTCTCTCCTAGGCCTGGCGCTTCTCCACTGTTTGCAGAACCAATCGGATTGTGCACGCCGCACCCCGCCTCCTCAGTGGGACCGGAATAAACAGTTTGGTCCCTCACTGGGGCGTAATCCTAAAGGCGCTTGGACGCTTACTGAGGGAGCCCACGCAGACACAGCCCGGCGTGTGACACGCTGAGCAGTCACTTAAATGGGGCGTCGTCGCTCTGAGCAGACGTTTATGGTGCACTTCCTGCGTGACTCTGCCCCCAGACTTGGGAGTCACTGCAGCCTCATAGATGAGCCTGCGACCCAGTCTCTTCCGGGACGTGGTGGGCTGGCTGAGTCTGAATAAACTGCCACCCGTTTAACCAGACCTACCCCTGAGGCTCTAGGGTGGGCTGCGAGGATCGCCCAGGTCGGGGGACAGCATCTCCCTACCACGTTCACTGGAAGGGCGTCCACCGCACCGCCGCCTCCAGCCCAGCTGGCCTCGCGGTGGCGCTGCTCCCTCTAGAATATTCTGGTTTTATAGTCCGCCCGCCCTGCTGGGTCCCCGCTGGAAGATTTAAACAAGACCTGGAATAACTGAATGGAACTAGGCACAGTGAGAGACCCGCAGCCGGATAACATTGGCTTACAAAATAGGGCTGACTCATTTCAGCTCGTGACCCAGCGCTAGGCGTCCTCCACCGAGCAGCTGCAGTTATCTGAACTCCCCCACCTCCCAGACGAATATTTGAGGGGGAGGATAGGGGCCTTGCTTCCCGCGTGGCAGTCCCTGGGTGTTGTGAATCTTAAGGGATCAGAGTTTGTTTTTAAGCACACAACCGATTTCCTGACGTGTGGCCAACTTCTTGATCCACCTGCTTGACTTGGCTTTTGAGGGAGGTTTCCTACATGAAGGAACGAAAACTGTCTCACTAGGAAAGATCGTGAACCAGCCTTCTGTGCGGTCCTGTGCAAGACCAAGTTGGACCTGGCAAGACAAGTGCTGTGAATTAAGGATGGTCATGACGAAATCTCCACATGGTTAGATTAATTTTGGCACATGCAGTCTGTGCAGCCTTTATCAAGAATTGAGTCAAACTGTATGTGTTGATAGGGAAGGGTTGTTAAGGTTTTATTAAGTACAAAATGGTGTGTAAATATACTTGCATTTGTATCAAAAGTAAGATATAGGCCAGGCGAGGTATATCTCACACCTGTAATCCTAGCTCTCTGGGAGGCGGAAGCAGGAGGATGGTTTGAGTTCAGGAGTTCGAAACCGGCCTGAGCAAGATCAAGACCCGTCTCTACTATAAATAGAAAGAAATTAATTGGCCAACTAATATGTATAGAAAAAAATAGCCGGGCATGGTGGTACATGCCTGTAGTCCCAGCTACTTGGGAGGCTGAGGCAGGAGGATTACCTGAGCCCAGGAGTTTGAGGTTGCTGTGAGCTAGGCTGATGCCCCGGCACTCACTCTAGCCTGGGCAACAAAATGAGACTCTGTCTCAAAAAAAAAAAAAAAAAAAAAGTAAGATATAGACATAAAATTTCTGGAAAGATCCACCATAAAATGTTTGTGGCATTATCCCATTGAGGCATGAGTCTGGAAATTTGGGTTTGGACTCAGTGTGGTGTGGATTGTACTCTTTTATACTGTTTCATTTTCTTTTTTTTTAAGAGACAGTATCTCCCTCTGTCATCCAGGCTGGACAGCAGTGACACAATCATAGCTCACTGTAGCCTCAAACTCCTGGGCTCAAGTGATCCTCTCGCAGTTGGAACTACAGGGTGTGCCACATGCCCAGCTAATTTTTTTTTTAATTTTTTGTATGCCCAGATCGGTCTCAAACTCCTGGACTCAAGCAATCTTCTCACCTTGGCCTCCCAAAGTGCTGGGATTATAGGCATGAGCCACTGTTTAATTTTTTTACTATGTGCATTTTAAATATTAATAATATTGGACAGCTAAAAATATATAGAAAAAAAATTAACTGGGGATGGTGGTGCATGCCTGTAGTCCCAGCTACTTGGGAAGCTGAGGCAGGAGGATCACTTGAGCCCAGGAGTTTGAGGTTGCTGTGAGCTAGGCTGACACCATGGCACTCTAGCCCGGGCAACAAAGTGAGACTCTGTCTCAAAAAAAAAAAAAATTAATACATTTTAAAAAGACAGGAAAAATTAACTCAGCAATAGGTATGCAAGAATGCTGCTATGAAGACCGGAATGGGAAGGTGGGGACAACTGTCCTGCCCCACCGCCACTCCTTTACTAAACTAGGTTGGAGGCAGAGGCAGATCCATCTTGGGGGGGGCTTGAAGCTTGTATAATTTTGGAGGCTATTTATAAGAAATGAAATGCACAGTTATGGATACACAGTGTGGTGGCCACCCAGAGGCCTCCTGACAGGAGGGGAAATGTCATGAAGAGGAAGTCGAAGCGGAGAGAGATAGCAGGCTTAACCAATTCCGGCTAGAATGTCCAACATTTGCAAGTTTTATAAAAACATACGACCATGTGAACACATTACTAGGGCTGCTCCCATGCCTGGGAAGGGAAATTGGTCATTTCCAGTACTCACACAAGGGCCTCAACGACAGTTCCTTGCTGAACGTGGTCGCCAGTAAGAGGCCTCTGGGCCCAGGTCTCAGTACTCAGACCTCTTCTCCTGCCTTGTACCCCACTCTGCCTGTTTCCAGTAATGCTCTCTTTTGCTGAGCTGTAATTGCTCGTGTTCTCCAGACCGGAGCTTCCTAGGTGGTGCAGGAAGAAGGGGTGTGGATATGGCTGAGACACCAGCCAGGCAGGAGCTGTGTGGCTGAATCAATGAACCATCACCTCTTTTTTTTTTTGAGACAGAGTCTCACTTTGTTGCCCAGGCTAGAGTGAGTGCCATGGCATCAAACTAGCTCACAGCAACCTCAAACTCCTGGGCTCAAGCGATCTTACTGCCTCAGCCTCCCGAGTAGCTGGGACTACAGGCATGCGCCACCATGCCCCGCTAATTTTTTCTATATATATTGGCCAATTAATTTCTTTCTATTTATAGTAGAGACGGGGTCTCACTCTTGCTCAGGCTGGTTTCGAACTCCTGACCTCGAGCAATCCGCCCGCCTCGGCCTCCCAGAGAGCTAGGATTACAGGCGTGAGCCACCGCGCCCGGCCGAACCATCACCTCTTGACTCCCAAGAAGATTCATCTGTTTGCACCAGTGACCCAAACAAATATGATTTGTGCTGAACAAGTAATCATTTTCTATGTGTGCCATGCCATTAAAAAGGTTGGCAAACCGTTTACCAGATGAAGACTTTCAATGTGTTTTATCCTGACCCATAGTAAGAAACATATTTTATGTTAAGACCCGGCACACACATATACATTTATAAGTGAAACTAAAAAAGTAAAAACCTGTTTGGGACTGAAAGAGTAAAAATCAGCTCAGACAAACAGAAAACACAGGCCAAGGTCATGCTGCTGTTATAAAATGCCATGGTGCCCACCTCTTTCAGCCAGGGCTACTTTCTTACTGGTGACACCCATAGACCAGCTTTGCAATTCCACCTGTCAACGGGGAGGCCCCAGCACTAAACCGCTCACCTCATGGCAGCACCCCATCCCTAGTAATTCCCTCTTCAGAGACAGCACCCGCTCCAGAACTGATCTTTGCTTCTTGTAGAAGCCTTCAGAATCCAGACCTGAGGAGCCTGCTTCCCTCCTCCCTCTCCTGGATGGGGGATGGGCAGGCACCCAGTGGCTCCCCAGGTGGTTTGTGTGGGCTGGCCCCTGGCTGACTAGGTCCTAACAAAATAAGAGCATGCCAAAGTCTTACTGCAATCTTGCAAGCAAAAGAAAAGGGGCCTGGTGGTCCAATTCTAAGATTCCATCTGGGAAGGGACATTTTATAGGAAATGAGAACTGTTAGCCACTGTTAGTTCACTGGGCTTCTGACTGACAACAGCTGGGTGGGTGGGGAAGTAACTAATTTCCCAGAACAATTTTAATCCCATTAAAATTTATCTAAAAACTATTTAAACATTTTGTCATGAATGTTATTTTTTTTTCCCCTACAAGGAGACTGAATTACATCAGCAGTTTTAACCACTTTGGTACCAGCGTCGACTATAGTCAATAGCCAGAGATGAATGCGCACAGTCCAGCATCGACTATAGTCGACAGCCACAGATGACCGTGCACAGCGACTTTAGCCGACAGCCGTGATATGAAGGCGCACGGCCGAGCGTCGACTTTAGCCGACAGCTGTGATATATGACTTTTCTAATTTTTCGTTTATCAAAATAAAATTGTGAACATTTAAAAATAACGTAATGAAAGCATATATGTATATGTTACCTATTCTGATATTTACATTACAAGTAAAGCTGCCTGTAAAGTAAAACAAGCTTTCAGTGCTTTCAAGCTTTCCTCATCACACAAGAGCAAAACGGATTTGTTGCCAATGCACAGCACAAACTATCATGCAGACTATGAGTGCTGGCTGTGGGCAAGTTTTCTCGGCCAGTGAGCGCCGAACCGAAGTGGTTAAAAAATTGAACAAAAGGGGGAAAGGTAATCACTCTGTGATTATCCCTTGTGCACATTAATAAATTTGGAAGAAAAGAAAAGACTTGCCCCAGACCCCCAGGTTTAGGACTTTTTTTTTTTTTGAGATGGTGGGGCATGGTAGTGGTGGGGTATTGCTATGTTGTGCAGGTGGTCTTGAACTCCTGGCCTCAAGGGATCCTCCCAGCTCAACCTCTTGAGTATCTAGGACTACAAGTGCCTGCTACCTCACCCTGCTTGATTTTTATTTTATTTTATTATTTATCTATTTTTAAAAGATTTTTGAGACAGAGTCTTGCTTTATCACCCAGGCTACAGTGCTGTGACATCATCATAGCTCACTGCAACCTTGATCTCCTAGGTTCAATCAACTCTCCTGCCTCGGCCTCCAGAATAGCTGGGACTACAAGCATGTGCATGCCACCATGCTCAGCTAATTTGAAAATTTTTTGCAGAGATGCAATCTCCCTCTGTTGCCCAGGCTGGTCTGAAACTTCTGGCCTCAAGCGATCCTTCCACCTCAGACTCCCAAAGTGCTGGGGTA